AAAAAAAAAAAAATTGATTTAAAAAAAAAGTTTCACTTCAGTGGGACATGAGCCGGGCGCCGGTGGCTCACACCTGTCATCCTCAAGAGGCTGAGTTCTGAGGATCGAGGTTAAAAGCCAGCTGGGGCACGAACGTCTCTGAGACTTTTATCTCCAATAAACCTCTAGAAAACGAAGTGCTGCTGTGGCTCACATGTTCGAGTGCTAGCCTTGAACTGAACAGCTGAGGGATGGTGCCCAGGCCCAGAGTTCAAGCCCCACGACTGACAAAATTTCACGGACATTCCTGCCCAGGCAGGCTTTGAACCAAGATCCTCAGATTGCAGCTTCCTGAGTAGCTAGGATTACAGGTGTGAGCCACCAGAGCCCGCCTGCCCATTTGTCATCAGAGGCAATTCAGGCAATGATATTAATGTGATATATCCATTGTATTACATAACAGCTTCATATAGGAAAATGAAGGCTTAAGTTGGTCCTCAGTAAGAATATGTGAATATAAATACATTCATTGAAAGGTATATTAATGCTGTTGAACTGAGAAAGTATAATAATGAAAAGCCAAAGCCTGCCCAACTCCCCTTTGACCTCGGTAACTCCTCCATGACTTACTTTGTTTTACCACCTGGTTGGTACTTGGAAGGGGACAGATGTTCCCAGCAGCTCTTTAGACAGTGTGACCAGGACCTAAGCTGTCGCTGATGGCCACTGTTCCTCAGAGGTCCCCAGCGGCACCCAATTTTGCCTCCTAAAATTCAGTGTCCAAATTCACAGCATGAAAAAATGATCTATCAAGCTAAGCGTGGCGGTACCTGCCTGTAATCCTGGCTCCTGCATCTGGCGTGAGTTAGTTTGACATGCCTGCTTGTTCTCATCTGGGGAGGACTCCTTACTGGGGAGGGGGGGTGGGGGGAAGGACTCCATCCGGTGGGGGGAGTCTTTCCTCAGGGGGTGGAGGCCTTTTTTGGGGGGGGGGGCGTCCGGTTGTGGGGCCTGAACTCTGGGCCTGGGTGCTGTCCCTCAGCTCTTCAGCTCACGGCTAGCGCTCTACCACTTGAGCCACAGCGCCACTTCCAGCTTTTTTCTTTTTTCTTATGTGGTGCTGGGGAATCAAACCCAGGGCCTCATGCATTACAAGGCAAGTGCTCTACCACTGAGCCACCTTCCCAGCCCGAGGCCTTTTGTTTTTTTTTGGTCAGTCGTGGGGCCTGAACTCTGTGCCTGGGCGCTGTCCCTCAGCTCTTCAACTGAAGGCTAGTACTCTATCACTTGAGCGTCAGCCCCACTTCCAGCTTTTTCTGCTTATGTAGTGCTGAGGAATCAAACCCAGGGCCTCATGCATGCAAGGCAAGCGCGCTACCACTGAGCCACCTTCCCAGCCCCTGGAGGCCCTTTCCTGTGGGAGGACTCCTCATCTAGGAAAGGGAAGACACACCTGTGGGGTTTTCAGTCTGTCTCAAGGAGAGCCCGTTCTGATCTAAGCCAGTAAGATAATGAGAAGGGGACAGAAACCTATGATACCAACAAAGGTGGAAGCTCAGGTTCACCCGTTACACAGGAGCAATGTCCTGAAGAGAGGCATGTGTGTCAGTGCTTCAGCTCAGGGCCAGGCCTGTGGGTCACCTGTAGTCCTAGCTACTCAGGAGGCTGAGAGCTTAGCAACAAGGCTAAGCAAGTGAGAGGCCCTAGGTTCAAACACACAGGAAATACTGTTTTATGTGTTGGGTGGACCTTGGGCCATTGGCTTAGGACTCTGAGGGCGCTTGGACACAGAGACCGAGCCTGAGTCCTGGATCACCTCGCTTCCCACACCGGAGACAAGCAATGAACCCTGAATGGGAGTCGGCTAGCCACATCGCAGGCGTGGCCTCGGAACAGAGCACAGGCAGCCTCCCAAGGCAGTGCTCCTGGCCCCTCCCACAGGAGCTCTCCGTAGCTCAGGCTGGCCCAGGGCGCTCTGTCCTGCTGCTCAGCCCCCTGAGTGCCTGACGGCAGGTGTGAGCCCCACGCCCAGCCTTGAGCACCCCTTTGCTCTAACTTTCACGGTAGGAGCTTCATACACAGGAAATGTATTCCAAGACAAGTGAGGTATAGAAACAAAGTGTCTTGGTTGATTGTAGGACTTGAACCTAGGGCTAGGCACTGTCCCTGAGCCTCTTCAGCTCAAGGCCAGCTAGCGCTCTACCACTTGAGCCACAGCACTGCTTCCAGTTTTTAGTGGTTCACTGGAGATAAGATTCTCATGAACTGGGGCTGGGAAGGTGGCTCAGTGGTAGAACGCTTGCCTTGCATGCCTGAGGCCCTGGGTTCGATTCCTCAGCACCACATAAGCAAAAAGAAAAAAAGCCGGAAGTGGTGCTGTGGCTCAGGTGGTAGAGCGCTAGCCTTGAGCTGAAGAGCTGAGGGATAGTGCCCAGGCCCAGAGTTCAGGCCCCACGACCGGACCCAAAAAAAAAAAAAGAAAGATTCTCATGAACTTTCCTGCCCAGGCTGGCTTTGAACCGTGCTCCTCAGATCTCAGCCTCCTGAGTAGCTAGGATGGCAGGCGTGAGCCGCGGGCGCCCAGCTTGCCCAGGTGACTTTGACTGCCTCCCAAGGCAGCCCCAGCTGTGGAAGGAGGGTCACTTGAGGCCAGCCTGCTGAGTGGTACACGTCCCTACTCAGCATGCTAGAGGTTGAGAGCAGGAAGTCTGAGAGCACTGGGTCAGACCCAGGGCAGAGGTTGGGGTCCTGTTTAGCACGATCCCCAGTGTGTAGGGCAAGATTTGGCATACAATGCCTGTGTGCTCGCCAAATGCACATCTTCATGATGAACAGCGCGTGTGAGCCACTGTCGGTTCTGGTTTTTTTTTTGGTCAGTCGTGGGGCTTGAACTCTGGACCTGGGCACTGTCTCTCAGCTCCTCAGGTCAAGACAAGCACTCTACCACTTGAGCACAGTGCCGCTTCCTGCTTTTTCTGCTTATGTGGTGCTGAGGAATCGAACGCAGGGCCTCATGCATGCGAGGCAAGCACTCTACCGCTGAGCCACCTTCCCAGCCCCCCTCTCTGTATTTCTTATGTGACCATTGTAGGGGAATCTAGAGAGAGAGGAAGAGAGTGTGTCTGGGGCTGTGGTTTTTCTTCCCAGTGATCCGAACTGCCTGGAATGTCCGGAGTCACTAGGAATCAGAGCCAACCCTGAATTCTCAGTTTTTGAGCCCAGTGGGCTGGCTGACCCCGTGTCCCGATACGCCCTAGAAGAGGAGGTGGGTCCAGGGTTCTGGGCTGAGGCTTGGCCAGAGCACTATGAGGTCTGTGGTTTTCTCCTGGCCTGTCTTCTTCCTGAAGGAGCAAAGAGGCCAGGTGGGGCTGAGATGCAAGGCTGCATGTCCACAGAGGAGTAAGCAGCCAGCTGAGGGGGACGGGCTGGGAAGAGCAGCAGGGGCTCTGGGAGGGGCAGTGTCCTGGCGGGCAGCCCAGGCTGCCCTTGGGCTTCTGCTCTCATTTGTGCTATTTCCTGCCGAGGATGGGCAGGCATGAGCCTCTGCTGCCCATCCTGGCTTTGCTGGCTGGAAGCAGGGAGGGAGAGGGGGTCAGCAGGCCCCAGGTGGCTCTTGCAGGAGCTAAGGCACTCTCCCAGACATTAGCTTCTGGCCTGTGTCCTGCAGCTTGCCTACTGGAGTCTGAGCCCCGCCCCCAGCAAGCAGGGCTGCAGCTGGGAACCCACAAGAGGAGGGTCTGGGAGGGGCTTCGTGTGCCTGGGCCCCCATCAGAGGTGTGGACCAGGGTCTCAGGCTCCTTCTAGCTCAGAACTGGGAGATGAACCCTACTTCCCTCTCAGTCCTGCACCCAAATCCAGGTCCTTTCTCGGCCTGGAGAGCCAGGGGCTAGGCCATTTCTGCCTGCTTCTCCACACTGCCTGGATGCTCTTCCTCTGTGAGGAGCAGGACACGTGAGCTGGAGCCTCCACAGCCCGGGATGGGCAGCAGGCCGGACCGCTAAGGATGACCAGGAACGGGGTGGAGACGTTGTCTGAGGGCGGCACCGCACTAATGGAAACCAGTTAGGAAAACAAGTGGAGCGGCCAGGAGAGGCTTGTTTTTCCAGAATGAAAGGCCTAGGCAGGAATTAGGTGGTGAGCACCCAAGTTCCAGCTCTACCGGCTGGAGTCCTGGAGAGGACATAAGTCTATGAGACTGGGGGCCCCCTCCTGCCGGCCCCACAGCTGCGGAGGCGGGCTTGGGGACTGGGTGGGGCTGAGGTGAGGACCCTTGAAATGACCAGCCCCTCCAGATGGGCAGGGACACTGCAGAGGGCTTGTGTGGTTGTTTAGATTTTCCCATTTCTTTCTTGTCCTGAGGTTTGCCTAACTAGCAGGGCGGATTGGTACACAGTGCCTGCTCTGTTATTTTGCATTTGTTTATGCGACGTTGTACATTTTCCCAGAGCCTCAAATCTGTGCTTTCTGTTGGCAGGGGGAAGGGAGGGCTGTCCAATCCCCCCTCCCCCCAGTGGGGGTCTCTCAGAGCCCAGTCACCCAGGTCAGGTTTCAGGGCCTCTTAAGCTCTGCAGGTGGGCAGCCCATGGCCTGGAAGAGCCCCCCACGCACTGACCCAGTGCCCGCCTCCCCCAGCTGGCTGCGCTTAGCCCTGAAGAGGACCCCGGCCCCCAGGAAGGGGGGCAAGAGCTGGAAGAACAACCTAACCTGTGGGGAGGATGCGAGGCCTCCTGCGGGGGGGGGGGGGGCACATGCCTGCCAGGCAGCCCCAGGCCGCAGGGGGCCTTTCTACTGGAGTGAGGTGGTCACCCAGGTCAGGGGTTTGAGACTCCAGGCTTTGTCCTTCGGTGGGCCTGAGAGAAGCTGCCCCAGGCCCTGCCTGCACCGCCCTGGCCTTCTCATTCCACCCAGGACTGACCCCCACCGTCCCTCCCCTCAGGCAGGCCCGGGATGGGGGAAGCCAAGGGGCTGGAGCAGCGGAGTGGGCGGGGTGAAGTCAGCGGGGACTGCGGAGGGGAGGAGGGTGGGCTGTTTTCCTGAGAGTTGGAGCTGGAGTGAGACAAAGCATCGGGAGGAAGCCGCGCTGGGCGCCGGGCAGCAGGCGCTATGGGGCTCCTGTCCTGCCTCCTGCTGTGGAAACTTGTGCTACTGCAGAGTGAGTGCCGGTGGGAGGGTGGGCTGGAGAGGGGCCGCAGTGGACCTGAGCAAACTGGGGTAGGGGTAAACCGGCCTGCCTGGGCCTGGGGCCCAGAGGTGGGGCACCCCCACAGGGGAGGGAGACGGCACAGAGACGGCGCAGATGTCTCAGGGGCAGGGCGACCCACGGCTCTCCCAGGAAGAGCTGGAGGGGCCCGGTGCCTCCGGGAGCACCCTCCTTTCGTGATGGCTGGGCAGCAGCCCAGGCTCAGCACTCCCCAGAGGGGGTGCAGGGAGTGAATCTGAATTTAGCCTGCAAACTAGGGTTCTCAGTCTGTCCCAGGCTCCTTCCAGGCGCACTGGCTTGCCCTAGCAGCCTGCTGACCGGACACATTCCTCCGGGAGTTCTGGGCACTCTGCCATTTCTCAGCCGCACAGGGTCCCCCCTGCCGGGCCTGTGAGGAGCTCCGGGCTTAGGCTGAGGGGCCCCTGCAAGTACGCAGGCTGCCTTGTCAAGTGTCCTTGTCAGTCTGGGACGTCCTGGGCAGACCTGGTGTCGGTGTCATGATGGTGATGCCGATGCTGTGGTGTATGTGGCTGGCACAGACTCCAGAGCGGGGGCTGAGCCCCGGCCCAGCACTGCCCCAGGTCCTTGGCCTTCCAGTGAGCAGGACCGGGCTGACCCCACAGCAAGGAGACAGGGAGGCACTGGACATGAACTGGGCTGTGAGCCACGTCCAGGAGACTGGGCAGGGTCCTGGTCTCTCCCAACATCACAACCACCTGTTCAGGGGTCATTACCGTGGTAGTGTGGCCTCCCCGGGGTTCCTCTCAGCCCCCCTTCCCCTCCTTGCAGGCTGTGCACCTCTCCCGTCCGCAGGTAGGTACCAGCTGGGTCTGCGGGGCTCTCCCTCCCCACCCCAGGAAGCCCAGTCCCCCTTGCCCTTGTATCCAGGCTGGCCCCCTGACCTCTGTCCCCCCTGCCCCGCCAGGGCCCCTGGGCCCCCCTGCCCCCTGCCCCGCCAGGGCCCTCGGGCCCCCCTGACCCCTGCACTGTCAGGGTCCCCGGGCTCCCCTGACCCCTGCCGCGCCAGAGCCTCCGGGCCCCCCTGACCCCCTGTCCCGCCAGGGCCCCCGCGGACCCCCGCGGCCGGCGGCAGCTTGGTGGTGTCCGAGGAGGCGGTGAGCGGGGCGGCGGGTGCCCCGGCGCTGCTGCGCTGCCAGAGCCCGCGCATGGTGTGGACGCGGGACCGGCTGCGGGACCGGCAGCGCGTGGTGCACTGGGACGTGCGCGGGGCCGGCGGCGCCGCGCGCCTGCTGGACATGGACTCGGCGGGCGAGCAGCGCGTGTACCGCGCCCGCGACCTCGGCCGGCTGCTGCTGGCGCCCTCCGCCTTCCTCGACGGCAACTTCTCGCTGCTCATCCGCGGTGCGGATCCGGGGGGCCGGGGCGGGGGGGGGGGCGGCGTGGACGGAGGGAGGACGGCGGGACGGAGGGTGGGAGGACGGCGGGACGGAGGCCCGGGCGCCGGATCTCCGCGCGCAGCTCACGCGGGGCTTCGCCCGTCGCCCCGCAGCGGTGGAGGACAGCGACGCGGGGCTGTACACCTGCAACCTGCACCACCACTACTGCCACCTGGACGAGAGGCTGGCCATCCGCCTGGACGTCACGGACGACCGTGAGCAGGCCGCCCCGAGCCCGGCCCCCCCCCCCGCCCCGAGCCCGGCCCCCCCCCCCCCCCCGAGCCCGGCCCCCGCCCCGAGCCCGGCCCCCCCCGCCCCGCCCCGAGCCCGGCCCCCCCCCCCCCCCGAGCCCGGTCCCCCCGCCCCGAGCCCGGCCCCCCCCCGCCCCGAGCCCGGCCCCCCCGCCCCGCCCCGAGCCCGGCCCCCCCCGCCCCGAGCCCGGCCCCCCCCCCCCCGAGCCCGGTCCCCCCGCCCCGAGCCCGGCCCCCCCCGAGCCCGGCCCCCCCCGCCCCCCGAGCCCGGTCCCCCCGCCCCGCCCCGAGCCCGGCCCCCCCCCCCCGAGCCCGGTCCCCCCGCCCCGAGCCCGGCCCCCCCCGCCCCGAGCCCGGCCCCCCCGCCCCGCCCCGAGCCCGGCCCCCCCCCGCCCCGAGCCCGGCCCCCCCCCCCCCCGAGCCCGGCCCCCGCCCCGAGCCCGGCCCCCCCCCCCGAGCCCGGTCCCCCCGCCCCGCCCCGAGCCCGGCCCCCCCGCCCCGCCCCGAGCCCGGCCCCCCCCCGCCCCGAGCCCGGCCCCCCCCCCCCCGAGCCCGGTCCCCCCCGCCCCGAGCCCGGCCCCCCCCGCCCCGAGCCCGGCCCCCCCGCCCCGCCCCGAGCCCGGCCCCCCCCCCGCCCCGAGCCCGGCCCCCCCCCGCCCCGAGCCCGGCCCCCCCGCCCCGCCCCGAGCCCGGCCCCCCCCCCCCGCCCCGAGCCCGGCCCCCCCCGAGCCCGGCCCCCCCCCCCGAGCCCGGTTCCCCCCCCCCGAGCCCGGCCCCCCCGCCCCGAGCCCGGTCCCCCCCCCCCCGCCCCGAGCCCGGCCCCCCCCCCCGCCCCGAGCCCGGCCCCCCCCCCGCCCCGAGCCCGGCCCCCCCCCGCCCCGAGCCCGGCCCCCCCCCCCGAGCCCGGTCCCCCCCCCCCGAGACCGGCCCCCCCCCCCGAGACCGGCCCCCCCCCCCGAGCCCGGTCCCCCCGCCCCGAGCCCGGCCCCCCCCCGAGCCCGGCCCCCGCCCCGAGCCCGGCCCCTCCGCCCCGCCCCGAGCCCGGCCCCCCCCCGCCCCGAGCCCGGCCCCCCCCCCCGAGCCCGGTCCCCCCCCCCCCGAGACCGGCCCCCCCCCCCCGAGACCGGCCCCCCCCCCCCCGAGACCGGCCCCCCCCCCCCCCCGAGCCCGGTCCCCCCGCCCCGAGCCCGGCCCCCGCCCCGAGCCCGGCCCCTCCGCCCCGCCCCGAGCCCGGCCCCCCCCCCCCGCCCCGAGCCCGGCCCCCCCCCCCCCCCCCCGCCCCGAGCTCGCGCCGGCGCTGACCGCCCCCCCCCCCCGCCCCGCCCGCAGCCCGCGAGGCGCACGCGCACTGGGACGGCGAGAGGGAGGTGCTGCGGGCCGCCCGCGGCGCGCCGGCCCTGCTGCGCTGCGTGAACCGCGCGCCCGTGTGGACCGACCGGCACCTGGAGGAGGCGCAGCAGGTGGTGCACTGGGACCGGCAGCCGCCCGGGGTGCCGCACGACCGCGCCGACCGCCTGCTGGACCTGTACGCGTCCGGGGAGCGCCGCGCCTACGGGCCGCCGGGGCTGCGCGGGCGGGCGGCCGTGCGCGCCGACGCCTTCGCGCGCGGGGACTTCTCGCTGCGCATCGCCGCGCTGGAGCCGGCCGACGCGGGCACCTACTCCTGCCACCTGCACCACCACTACTGCGGGCCTGCACGAGCGCCGCGTCTTCCACCTGCGCGTGCGCGAGCCGCCCGCGGGGCCGCCGCCCGACCCCGGCCACGGCTCGGGCGCAGGCCCGGGCCCGGACCCCACCCTGGCGCGGGGCCGCAGCGTCATCCACGTCGTCGTCCCCGAGGGCCGGGCCCACTTCTTCCAGCAGCTGGGCTACGTGCTGGCCACACTGCTGCTCTTCATCCTGCTGCTCATCACCGCGGTCCTGGTCACGCGCCAGCGCCGGCGCGGGGGTGAGGCGGGGCGCGGGGGTGAGGCGGGGCGCGGGGGGTGAGGCGGGGTGCGGGGGTGAAGCGGGGAGGGGCGCGGGGGTGAGGCGGGGGAGGGGCGCGGGGGTGAGGCGGGGAGGGGCGCGGGGGTGAGGCGGGGCGCGGGGGTGAGGCGGGGCGCGGGGGTGAGGCGGGGAGGGGCGCGGGGGTGAGGCGGGGCGCGGGGGTGAGGCGGGGTGCGGGGGGTGAAGCGGGGAGGGGCGCGGGGGTGAGGCGGGGCGGGGAGCAGGGCTGAGGGGGGGCGTGGGGAGGGGGGTGCAGGGGTGAGGCCCAGTGCCCCAGGGGAGGGCGGGGCGGGGGGGGGGGGGGGTCGACGAGGCCGGCACCCTGGGGAGGGCCTGGGGGGAGACCACCTAGAAAGACTGACAAGTCTCCCCCACAGGCTGTGAACACACAGACAAGCGTTCAGGAAAGGCAGAGAGGTGAGTGTCCCCTAACTACCTCCCTGCCCTGCCATGCCCTGCCTTGACCCGCCCTTCTAAACTGCCACCTGTCCCTCCCAGGAAGGACGTGAAGGTGGCAGAGCTGTCTGTGTCACCCTACAGGACTGAGGAAATCCAGCTAGGTAGGGGTGTGGGGGACACGAAGACACGACCACCGTGCCCAGTCCGAGACCCTGTGTAAAGTCTCTGAGCAGGATCTCTCTCTCTCCCCTTGCTCTAGATTACAAAAACAACATCTTGAAGGAGAGGGCAGAGCTGGCTCACAGTCCCCTGTCTACCAAGAATATCGACTTGGACAAAAGGTGAGCACCAGAAAGGAGACTCTACCACCCCCTCAGCCTGTCCAGAGTTGAGTCCCAGGACTTCTGCTCAGGAGCCTCCTGAAGATCTGCCCTGAGTTTTCCCACTGGAACTAAGGGTAGAGGGTTGAAGCCAGCCATATCCTTGGATTCTAGAGCTCAGAAAGGAGTACTGCAAATAAAGCGACCCTGGCTACTGGCTGGACCAGCAGCCCTGCCTCCAAGGATGCCTGCCCACCCTCCAGAGGCCCTCCCTGGTCCCTCCCAGCGGCTGGTCCCGCTTGTCCTGGAGCTGGGCCTCGATTGGTAGGGCTGTTGTCTACACTTAGTTCTTTCAGGAGCCATCTTCGTCTTCCAGAGCAACTGTGGGCTCCCTCGGACTCTGCCACAGCGTGGCTCCTGCCTTTGGGGTCACACTTTCCCAACCATGGCCCTGCCCCAGTTCTGGCACAGCCCAAGCTGTCATCCTGATGATGTCCAGGAAGCAGCCCTTAGGCCCTCCAGATCTCTGCTCCCTAGAGGCAGGAAGCCACTCAGAGGGTCAGGCAGGACTGGAATCCTAGACTCAGTCCCAGTCCCCACCTCCCTTCTGCTGGGGGACCCCAGGGGCTGTCCACTATGCGTAAGCCAGAGGCAGGACCAGCTGCCCTCTGTCCTGTGCACTGGGGATGCATAGGTCTTCCTAGGCGGCAGCGGCGGCCTTTCCCTTTCTCTGCTTTTAGCACCTTTTCAGCAAATTTTCCTGGAGCTTTCCCCACACTCACTGAACTAACTCTACCTGATTTTTGGCCCTGACTCCTCCTATCCCTGGATGGAACCATTTGGCCACACAGATTTGGCTGAGGAGGTGGGAGGTGCTCTGGAAGTTCTTGGTGGCCAGTGTCTGTGCTGCCGCCCATATGATGGGCAGTCCACACTTGCTCCTGTTGGGAGAACTGACACATCACAATAAAGGACATACCTGGTTGTATACTTGGGCAACTCTCCCTGTACTCTCCTGGAGGTGGTGGGGGCGGGTTTGGGCCTTGGGAACCCCCAAGTGCCCTCAGGCCACGGTGCTTCCTGTCTGGGAATCTGGCATCTCAGGAGACACAGCAGCCAGTAAGGAAGGGGTTTCAGTTTCTGTTCTGAATGTTGGTTAGGATGTGGAGGGGGGGGAGGGGGGGCGGGGGAGCAGAGGGGGTATGAAGACAGGGGACGAGGCCTGCTGGCTTTGTCCTCTGAGCAGAGTGGGCAGGAAAGTTTCACCCCTTGCAGATGCGACCCTTTATGGAGTCAGGAAGGAGACTAATGGAAAGAGCTCTGGGTTGCAGGGCCTAGCAACAGAATGGGCACTGGTCCCCGTTGGCTCACGCATGGTTAGGTGCCAGCTGCAGCCATGTTCTTGGCTGGGGTGGGGGGAGCAGAGAGCATCACCTGTGTCCTCACTCCCGCCTCCTTCAAGGTCCCCCCTGAGTAGTGGGGTCAGAAGAGGGGGGCAGACTCCCAATGCAGAACCCAGTGGGAGGCGGGCCTGGGAGATGTGACTTGAGACACTGTCACTGGACAATCGGGCTCCTGAGAGGGCCGTCAGGCCGAGGCCCCAGGGAAAGCAGTCAGCCTGTCTGCTTCCGCCCAGCCTCTGCCCAGGCCCTCTCCCAGGAGGGCTGAGCCGGGTGGAGCTCAGGGTCTCAGGCGGCGTCAGCTCCTCCGCCCCCCGACTGGCCTGTCAGACGAGCCCCTGGCTCCCCACCCTTTCCCCGGTCTCGGGCCCCTCGCTCCCGAGGCCAGCGAGGCCAGCGAGGCCCTCCACTTCCTCGTGAGCCCGCGGCTCAGCAGGGCGGCGAGTGGCTGTGGACGCCCCGACCCGCTGTCCCGGCAGGACGCCCCGACCCCCGCAGGACGCCCCGACCCCCGCTGCCCCCCCTGCCCCGACCCCCGCTGCTCCCCCTGACCCGACCCCCGCTGTCCCCCCCGACCCCGCTGTCCCCCTGCACCGACCCCCGCTGTCCCCCCTGCCCCGACCCCCGCTGCCCCCCCCTGCCCCGACCCCCGCTGCCCCCCCTGCCCCGACCCCCGCTGTCCCCCCTGACCCGACCCCCGCTGTCCCCCCGACCCCGCTGTCCCCCTGCACCGACCCCCGCTGTCCCCCCTGCCCCGACCCCCCGCTGTCCCCCCTGCCCCGACCCCCGCTGTCCCCCCTGCCCTGACCCCCGCTGTCCCCCCGACCCCCGCTGTCCCCCCTGCCCTGACCCCCGCTGCCCTGACCCCCGCTGCCCCGACCCCCCCCTGCCCCGATCCCCGCTGTCCCCCCTGCCCCGACCCCCGCTGCCCCCCCCTGCCCCGACCACCGCTGCCCTGACCCCCGCTGCCCCGACCCCCGCTGTCCCCCCTGCCCCGACTCCCGCTGCCCCCCTGCCCCGACCCCCCCCTGCCCCGATCCCCGCTGCCCCCCCTGCTCCGAACCCCGCTGCCCCGATCCCCGCTGCCCCCCCTGCTCCGACCCCCGCTGCCCCCCCCTGCCCCGACCCCCCCTGCCCCGATCCCCGCTGTCCCCCCTGCCCCGACCCCCGCTGTCCCCCCTGCCCCGACTCCCGCTGCCCCCCTGCCCCGACCCCCCCTGCTCGGACCCCCGCTGCCCCCCCTGCCCCGACCCCCCCTGCCCCGATCCCCGCTGCCCCCCCTGCTCCGACCCCCGCTGCCCCCCCTGCCCCGACTCCCGCTGCCCCCCTGCCCCGACTCCCCCTGCTCCGACCCCCGCTGCCCCCCCTGCCCCGACCCCCCCTGCCCCGATCCCCGCTGCCCCCCCTGCTCCGACCCCCGCTGCCCCCCCTGCCCCGACCCCCGCTGCCCCGACCCCCGCTGTCCCCCCGACCCCGCTGTCCCCCCTGCCCCGATCCCCGCTGTTCCCCCTGCCCCGACCCCCGCAGGATGCCCCGACCCCCGCTGCCCCCCCGACCCCCGCTGTCCCCCCGACCCCCGCTGTCCCCCCTGCCCCGACCCCCGCTGCCCCCCTGCCCTGACCTCCGCTGTCCCCGCTGCCCCGCCCCCGCCCCGCCCCCCCCTGCCCCGATCCCCGCTGCCCCCCCTGCCCCGACCACCGCTGCCCCGACCCCCGCTGTCCCCCCTGCCCCGACCCCCGCTGCCCCCCCTGACCCGACCCCCGCTGCCCCGACCCCCGCTGCCCCGACCCCCGCTGCCTTGACCAGGACAAAAATCTAGGCTCGGGCCGCCGCGGGGTCCCAGGCCGAGCGGGATCCCGGGACCGGCTCCGCGGTGGAAGGCGGGACGCGGGAGCCACAGGGCCCCCCACGATCCCACTGCGGGTCCCAGGAGGGAGCGCCCATCCGCCCACGGAACAGGTCGCGCGTCCACGCCGGATCGCAGCCGGCGCGCCCTTGGGGTTCTGGTCCCGAGAGCAGCGCTGGTGGGCGGCGCCGGGACGCCGTCCGCGCCCAGGCCGGCCCGGCGGGCTCCAGCGCGCTCCAGCCCTGCCCGGCCGCCCCGCCCCCGACTTCCTCCGTCCTGCGCAGGCGCGACCCCACCCCGCCCCCTCCACCGCCCACGCACCCCAACCTCGCCGCCGTGCGCAGGCGCGGCCCCGCCCCAGCCAGCCGCGGGCGGCGGTGACGTCACCTGCGCTCGTGCGCCCCCTGGCGGCCGCGCTCTGAGGCCGGCCGGGCGATCCCTGCACGGTCCGAGGGGGCGGCGGGCGGCGGCGGCGGCGGCGGCGGCGGCGGCCGCGGCCTTCCAAGCTCGGTCCCTCGGGCCCGTCCCGGGCCGGCAGCGGATGGGCGGCCCCAGGCCGCGAGGCAGCGGGCCGGGCGGGAGCGGCAGCCCGGGCGGCGCAGGGCGCGCGTGCGCGCGCGCGGGCCTCGGCGCGGCCGGGCGGGGCGCGGGCCGGCGGGCGGGGAGGGCGCCCCGCGTCCGAGCCTCGGGCCGGGCCCTGACGCCGCGCGGCCCCGCGCCGCCAGCCCCGCGCCATGGCGGAGACCAAGATCATCTACCACATGGACGAGGAGGAGACGCCGTACCTGGTGAAGCTGCCCGTGGCGCCCGAGCGCGTCACGCTGGCCGACTTCAAGAGCGTGCTGAGCAGCCGGCCCGCGCACGCCTACAAATTCTTCTTCAAGTCCATGGATCAGGACTTCGGGTCAGTGCGCCCCGGGCGCTGTCGTCAGCGGGCCAGGGGTCGGGGGCCGGGCGGGCCGGGGATCGGGGGCCGGGCGGGCCGGGGACCGGGGGCCGGGCGGGCCGGGGACCGGGGGCCGGGCGGGCCGGGGATCGGGGGCCGGGCGGGCCGGGGATCGGGGGCCGGGCGGGTCGGGGCCGGGCGGGCCGGGGGCCGGGGCCGGGCGGGCCGGGGGCCGGGGGCCGGGCGGGCCGGGGACCGGGGGTGGGAGGGCCGGGGCCGGGCCGGCCGGGGATCGGGGGCCGGGCGGGTCGGGGGCCGGGGCCGGGCGGGCCGGGGCCGGGCGGGCCGGGGGACGGGGACCGGGGGTCGGAGGGCCGGGCCGGGCGGGCCGGGGACCGGGGGTCGGGGGGCCGGGGCCGGGGGCCGGGGATCGGGGGCCGGGGGCCGGGGGCCGGGGGCCGGGGGCCGGGCGGGCCGGGGGCCGGGGGCCGGGCGGGCCGGGGACCGGGGGTGGGAGGGCCGGGGCCGGGCCGGCCGGGGATCGGGGGCCGGGCGGGTCGGGGGCCGGGGCCGGGCGGGCCGGGGCCGGGCGGGCCGGGGGACGGGGACCGGGGGTCGGAGAGCCGGGCCGGGCGGGCCGGGGACCGGGGGTCGGGGGGCCGGGGCCGGGCGGGCCGGGGACCGGGCGGGCCGGGGGCCGGGGATCGGGGGCCGGGGGCCGGGCGGGCCGGGGGCCGGGCGGGCCGGGGGCCGGGGGTCCGGGCGGGCCGGGGGTCCGGGCGGGCCGGGGGCCGGGGTCCGGGCGGGCCGGGGGTTGGGGGCCGGGCGGGCCGGGGATCGGGGGCCGGGCGGGCCGGGGATCGGGGGCCGGGGGCCGGGCTGGCCGGGGGCCGGGGGGGCCGGGGGCCGGGGGCCGGGCTGGCCGGGGGCCGGGGGCCGGGGGGGGGGCCGGGGGCCGGGGGCCGGGCCCTGCGCCCTGCGCGCGCCTCCACCTGTCCGCCGCGGGCCGGGTCCGAGTGGCGGCCCCGCTTCCTGGCTCACGCAGTCGGTTTCCTTGCGTTCTGCGGGGCCGAGTTTGCGGCCACCCCAAACCAGAGCCCGCCTCCCCTTGGCACAGGCCGGGCGCAGGGCCGGCCGTTCCGCCCGCGGGAGGCGGTAACCTCGGGGCTCGGGGGGCTGGGGGCTGTCGAAGGCAGCGAGGGTCAGGCCGGTGCCGAGGCCCGGCGGACCCCTCGTTGGGATGGGCAGGACAGGCACCTTCGTGGGGTCGCCGGGGTTGGCATAAGTTTTCTCTCCTGTGGAAGAAGAAAGCCAAGCCCTTTCTCACGAGGGGGCCGAGGTCAGTGGTCACTGGGGACCGAGGAAGTCCGCCGCACCTGCTCGGTCCCGAGCTTCCTGGCGCGTGGGCCTCTGTCCCCAGAGAAACTACACTTGCACTCCGAGGAGAGCGGGTGTCGGTTGCTTTGAGCCGGCTGCTGGGCCGGTGTCTCCGAACGTGACTACTGTAGTAGCGCTCCCAGGGGAAGGGGCCTTCCACTTGTGGGGAGTTAAGCCTCTGCGACAAGGAGCAGGGGTCTGGCCGTCCACAGAGGCCTGGCCTAGCGCAGACTTGGTAATCCGAGTCTGCTGCTTGGCAGTGCTGGGGCGGGGTGGGGTGGGGGAGGACGGGAGGACGGGACAAACTTAGGCCTGTGGTTGGGGCAGGTGCTCCTGGTGCCCTCAGGCATGTCCTGTCCTTGTGTGTGGCCTGGTCTTGGACTTTGACATTGAGGACATTTCCTAGATTCCATGGCAGCCTCAGGTTGGGTCAAGCTCAGGCCACCATGTGGCTCCTGGTGTGTTGTGGGAGACGGAGGGAAAGGTGGAGAGTCATGTGGATAGCTGGGCTCGCTCTTGCCCACTTAGCCCAGCCACAGGGAATAAGCAGAGGAGGGGCACCCTGGGCAGCCTAAAGGTGTGGTACTGGGGCTTAGCTTGGGCTCCAAGAGGCTAGCCCTCCCTCCCCCCCCTTGCTGGGTGACCTCCCGTGGACCCCATTCCCCCGTGCCTGGGCTTCCCTGGGCTGGAGCATCAGGTGTGTGTGTGGAAGGCTCCTTAGTTTTTAACTGAGTCTATTATTTTAGCAGACATTTCCAGAAATGCTCTTCTTCACAGACTAATGCTGCCCACTACTGCATGTTGCTCTCAGACCCAGTCTGCTGTCTGCAGTGCTAGGCAACCTTTTTTTTTTTTGTCGGTTGTGGGGGCCTGAACTCTGGGCCTGGGCGCTGTCCCTCAGCTCTTCAGCTCAAGGCGAGCGCTCTACCACTTGAGCTACAGTGCCACTTCCACTTTTCTGGTGGTTTATTGGCGATAAGAGTTTCACAGACTTTCTTTCCCAGGTTGGCTTTGAGCCGCAATCCTCAGATCTCAGGATAGGATGATAGGCGTGAGCCACTGGCTCCCGACTCTGGAACCTTTTTGAGGGGACTCCGTACCCTCTTCCTGATGCCCATCTAGGGCTGCCAAGAGCAGATCACCTGGCCTCAACCCCCATGCCCTCCAGTGGAGCTGCGCTGTGGGCAGGCGTGGAGGACCTATAGGTGCCCAACCTCAGAGGTGGGTTTTATGTAGGAACAGCCCCTTTGGATATTTGGGGAGGCTTGGGCATGGCTAGGCTGTGGGGCAGTTAGCTAGCAGAGAGCTTAAGGGTACAAGGTGGGAATCTCATATTTTCAGGAGAGCTGGGAGGCAGAGAGCCACGAGGTGGAGGTGGGGGTGGAGGCTGGCCTGGGTGACACAGAATGTCCCATGAACAGGCAGGACAAGGGCTGTACCTTGTTTCCTCCCTGTTCTCTGATCATTGGCCATCTAGCCTCAGGAATCTGAGAGGGATCTCTGTCAACTGCTTCCCTCCTCTCCTTGCCGGAGTTCCACCACAGGGCTTCAGAGTCTATCTGGTCTTCAGGATCGTGCATTCAGTGGACTAGATTCCCTAGGGAAGGGGCTTCTCCACTTCAGCGTGGGTCACTAAGAGCTGAGCTTGGAGCATGCTTTGGATACCTTGGGGAGGAGGAGGAAGTTCCTGGTTGGGCTGGGCAGTGGGCCCAAGGAGGCCTGATGGAGGCTCTGCAGAGTGCTTTGGTGAGTCTGGGTTTCCTGCTCTGGACCACAGCTGGCTCTAGGGGGAGTGGATTCTGGTCGGTGTTGGCCCCTTTCACACACACCTTTGGCCAGAGTGTCTGCACGTCCTGGTGTTCTGACCCAGGGCCCATAGGGCTTGGCGGCTGAGCCCTGGGTTGGGTCTGGTGGTGGTGGTGGAAGGTGGTCTCTGAGGCAGCTAGGGAAGGTGTTTGGCTCTCAGTCCCAGGACGGGGGAAGAGCACTTGCTGCTGTCAGCCTGATGGACATGGCACTGAGCTTCTGCCTCTGCATCTTTGAGGGCCAGAGATAGGGGCCAGGGGGCGAGGGTAGGGTCTAGGAACCCTAGACTCCTTGCATCCTGTAGGGCCACGATGGGGCTGCTGGCGGGGATGGTGCTTGGTGGCTGCTCTGCCCTTCCCGACGGTGCTGTGTGGGTTTGGACATTATGTGCACCTCCCTGGTATTGGGAGAGTCTAGGCCTGGGCCGTGGATACACTGGAGCCGGCAAAGCCTGAGCCTGGGGAGGAGGCTTAGGTCCATGGACTCAGTGCCGCCCTTGTGTGGGCTGGCAGGAGAGTGGCTAGCTTTGGTCAGGAGCTAGGCACTGGTCTGCTGGCTGAAGACTTAGGGTTTTCTCACGCCCTGTGCTGTGCTCTGCCAGCCTCTGTGTCTACAGAGGAGAACAGACTTACTAAGGGCTGTGCCCCTGGGGAAGCTGGTCCATGTCTGTGCTGTGGCTTCTCAGAGCCCTGAGGTCCTTCTGGGCCAAGCTGTGCTGAGTTCAGCGGTCCCTACCTTCATCCCTGGGGCGGGACGCAGGGCTGGTGGCGATAGCTACAAGTGGGAGGCTAACCAAGATCTCCTTGGGGATTGTGAGGCTGTGGGATGGGGCTGTACCTTAAGTGGTAGAGCACCACCCCAAGCGAAAAAACCTGAGGGACAGTGCCTAGGTCCTGAGTTTAGGCCCTAGTACTGGCACATGCATTGCGCATGCACATGCACACACACACAAGAATTGTGAGGTTGGTGGGGCTGGGAAGGTGGCTCAGTGGTAGAGCGCTTGCCTTGCATGCATGAGGCCCTGGGTTCGATTCCTCAGCACCACATAAGCAAAAAAAAGAAAAAGCCAGAAGTGGTGCTATGGCTCAAGTGGTAGAGTGCTCGCCTTGAGCTGAAGAGCTGAGGGACAGCGCCCAGGCTCAGAGTTCAGGTCCCACGACCGGACCCCGCCCCCCCCCAAAAAATGAATTGTGAAGTTGGGGGCAAAATGCTGAGAAAAGTTGGCGGTGATCACTCTGACGGTCACTTCTGGACAGTCCCGGAGCAGCGCTGTGACGGGCTCCCACTATGGGGAGCACTCCTGTCGCTACCCTTGGCCTGTGGTTCTGGGGGGAGGGGCAGGGGTTTCCCTGAGATCTAGGGCAAGTCTTCCCCCTCTCCTGCTGTCCTGGCCCCCTGGCCCTTTTTATCCCCCTCACCCCCAATCTAGGAGAAAGGCTGGACTTGAGCTCCTCAGGTTGAGAAGTGGGCCAAGAAACAGGGCCTTTGGGCCTGGAGGGGCGTCTGCCTGAGGGGCGGGGCAGAGGCCCCAGGTGGCCTGCCTGTGCCCCCTTGAGGCCCTGGCCCGGCAGACTCTGAGGCAGGCAGCAGCTGCCGGGGAGCTCCTGCCGTGACGCTCCCTGTGGCGCGTCGGATAGGGCTGGCCTTGGTGCGGCACTGGAGAGGTTGCCAGGGGGCTTCCGGGGCCAGGCTCGGAGCTGAGGCGGGATCTCTGCTGGGGTCTCTGGTTCAGTCAGTTCACTCAGGTCCCACAGCTGCTGCCAGCACAGCTCAAGGCCCCTGGAGCTCTGGCAGGTTCCCATGGTGACAGCCTCTTGATGGCTGCTTCTGCTGGGTCTGCTGTCTGTGTACCAGTCTGTCCTGGGATGAGCCCAGCGTTGGGGCTGGGGCAGCAGACACCAGGCACCAGGGGCCCTGAGAGGTGGCTTTCCACTCACGAAGACCCAGTTCCTTGATGTGAGTCCCTAACGAGGCACCCAGAGGCAGTGGCTGGATGGGACGTAACTCCTTGTCTCTGTCACCTGCTCTGCCCTAGGCCTCTTCCCCATGGATGGGTGGCCAGGGCCTGGTGGTTGGTGTCCCTTGGGTGGCATGGTGGTGTCAGCTCCGATCGGGCCTCCAGTCACCTCTGCACAGCACAGGCTGTGTGGTGCTGGGGCCAGCGAACCTGGAGGGACAGGCAGGGGTGGCCTTGGGCCTGGCACAGGGACCATGCCTTCCAGGTATGCTCCAGCTCCCGGCTCTTTAGCATGGAAAATCCCACTGTGCTCGGTGGAGCTGAGCAGCCGCAGGCCACAGCCCTTCCCAGGGGCCCCGTGACCTGTGTTGGTCGCCTTGCTCCTGTTCAGGGGCCTTGTTCCATCGCACACGCCCTCACCTGCCTGGGTGCCCGTAGCTCCTTCCCAGTCTGTCAGACCAGGGCAGCGTTGAGACCAGGTGAGGCTTGGTGCTGGTCGGCGGCGATAGCTGGCTAGCAGTTGTCCCTCCAGGTCTTCAGGTAGGGTCAGACTGCAGCCCCCTGAGAGCTGGTGCCGGTCTAGTGTGAGTCTGCGTGTCTCCCTGGCTGGACACACACATGAGGGCTCTCTTGACCACACAGAGAGCTGACTTGGCTGGTGACCTGCCCGGCCAGCTGTGATCTGAGACCTGCCTGGGCTGGCGGGATACAGGGAAGAACGCTAGGGGCTGACGAGCACAGAGCAGAGTGAGGTGCAGATCATGCAGGTTGAGACCCCTGAATATTTCAGAGAGGCTCAGGGGGCTACACTGGGCAGGGGTGGGCAGCCCCTGGGTCAGGCTGGGTCACGGTGGCCCGAGGAGCTGTGGACCTGCTGTTCCCATGCTGGGGGGGTCGGAGGCCTGTCTGTGAGTGGCCGGGGTTGGAGCCCTTGCCATGTGCAGTGGAGAGACAGCGGAGAGCCCAGGACCACCTGAGTGCCTTGGAGGTGGCCTGCTGACCGAGAGGAGGGCCTGCGCGGCATGGGCTCCGGGAGCAGCCGCGGGGTGGGCTCCAGGAGCAGCCGTGGCATGAACTCCGGGAGCAGCCGCGGCATGGGCTCCGGGAGCAGCCGCGGGGTGGGCTCCAGGAGCAGCCGCGGCATGAACTCCGGGAGCAGCCGCGGGGTGAACTCTGGGAGCAGCTGCGGGGTGATCTCCGGGAGCAGCCGCGGCGTGGGCTCCGGGAGCAGCCGCGGCGTGGGCTCCGGGAGCAGCCGCGGGGTGATCTCCGGGAGCAGCCGCGGGGTGATCTCCGGGAGCAGCCGCGGGGTGGGCTCCAGGAGCAGCCGCGGGGTGAACTCCGGGAGCAGCCGCGGGGTGAACTCTGGGAGCAGCCGCGGGGTGATCTCCGGGAGCAGCCGCGGCATGGGCTCCGGGAGCAGCCGCGGCGTGGGCTCCAGGAGCAGCCGCGGGGTGAACTCCGGGAGCAGCCGCGGGGTGAACTCTGGGAGCAGCCGCGGGGTGGGCTCCGGGAGCAGCCGCGGGGTGAACTCCGGGAGCAGCCGCGGGGTGAACTCTGGGAGCAGCCGCGGGGTGGGCTCCGGGAGCAGCCGTGGGTGAGCTCCGGGAGCAGCCGCGGGGTGAACTCTGGGAGCAGCCGCGGGGTGGGCTCCGGGAGTAGCCGTGGGTGAGCTCTGGGAGCAGCCGCGGCGTGGGCTCCGGGAGTAGCCGTGGGTGAGCTCCGGGAGCAGCCGCGGCGTGGGCTCCGGGAGTAGCCGTGGGTGAGCTCTGGGAGCAGCCGCGGCGTGGGCTCCGGGAGTAGCCGTGGGTGAGCTCTGGGAGCAGCCGCGGCGTGGGCTCCGGGAGCAGCCGCGGCGTGGGCTCCGGGAGCAGCCGCGGCGTGGGCTCCGGGAGCAGCCGCGGCGTGGGCTCCGGGAGTAGCCGTGGGTGAGCTCCGGGAGCAGCCGCGGCGTGGGCTCCGGGAGCAGCCGCGGCGTGGGCTCCGGGAGTAGCCGTGGGTGAGCTCTGGGAGCAGCCGCGGCGTGGGCTCCGGGAGCAGCCGCGGCGTGGGCTCCGGGAGCAGCCGCGGCGTGGGCTCCGGGAGCAGCCGCGGCGTGGGCTCCGGGAGCAGCCGCGGGGTGAACTCTGGGAGCAGCCGCGGGGTGATCTCCGGGAGCAGCCGTGGGTGAGCTCCGGGAGCAGCCGCGGCGTGGGCTCCGGGAGCAGCCGTGGGGTGATCTCCGGGAGCAGCCGCGGCGTGGGCTCCGGGAGCAGCCGTGGGGTGATCTCCGGGAGCAGCCGTGGGTGAGCTCTGGGAGCAGCCGTGGGTGAGCTCCGGGAGCAGCCGCGGCGTGGGCTCCGGGAGCAGCCGTGGGTGAGCTCCGGGAGCAGCCGTGGGTGAGCTCCGGGAGCAGCCGCGGCGTGGGCTCCGGGAGCAGCCGCAGCGTGGGGCTGGAGAGACGCCTGGAGTGAGGCTGGGACGGGGCGCAGCTCAGGAGCCAGGCTCTCTAGGAGCCCTCTGCCCCAGCTGCCTAGCCCCTCTTGTGGGTTGGAGGCTAGCATGGGTGAGTGGAGGCCACCCCCCTTCCCCCCCGTCCCGGTGCTGGACGGGAGCAGAGATGGTAGTCTGGGGCCGGTGGGTGGCCGCCAAGGCCCTTGGGAAGGCATTGTGCCGGTGGAGGCCCCGCCACCCGCGGTGTCTCTCAGCCATGAGGCTTGCGCGGCAGCCTCGTGTCTGTCTGTCTGCAGGGTGGTGAAGGAGGAGATCTCTGAGGACAATGCCAAACTGCCCTGCTTCAATGGCCGGGTGGTGTCCTGGGTGAGTGTGGGTGACCCCATTAGTCCCCAGGAGGGGTGCCCTTCTGGAAGGAGGTGGTTGGGCTGGAGGAGAGCAGGTGAACGGGGCTGGCCACCTGATCTTGGTGCTCTGCAGGAGTGACCTTGCTCTCCCTTCACAGCTGGTACTGGCTGAGGGCTCCCACTCGGATGTGGGGTCTCAGGGCACTGACAGCCACACGGACCTCCCCCCACCCCTCGAGCGGACAGGTGGCATCGGGGACTCCCGGCCTCCCTCCTTTCAGTAAGGACTGGGGTGGGGCGGGGAAACAGAGCTTTGTTACTCCTGGATACCTGTACCTAAGGCCATGTGGAAGGGGCTGGCCAAAGGGGCTGCTTGCTGTAGCTGAGGCCCCCTCTCCTGTAGGGACACCAGCGGCCGGTTCTGCCCTGTCCCACCCCATCCTGCCCCACCTGTCCCCTCCCTCACCCCCATCCTGCCCCACCTGTCCCCCTCCCCCCATCCTGCCCCACCTGTCCCCTCCCTCCCCCCATCCTGCCCCACCTGTCCCCTCCCTCACCCCCATCCTGCCCCACCTGTCCCCCTCCCCCCATCCTGCCCCACCTGTCCCCTCCCTCCCCCCATCCTGCCCCACCTGTCCCCCTCCCTCACCCCCATCCTGCCCCACCTGTCCCCCTCCCCCCATCCTGCCCCACCTGTCCCCTCCCTCCCCCCATCCTGCCCCACCTGTCCCCTCCCTCACCCCCATCCTGCCCCACCTGTCCCCTCCCTCACCCCCATCCTGCCCCACCTGTCCCCCTCCCTCCCCCCATCCTGCCCCACCTGTCCCCCTCCCCCCATCCTGCCCCACCTGTCCCCTCCCTCCCCCCATCCTGCCCCACCTGTCCCCTCCCTCACCCCCATCCTGCCCCACCTGTCCCCCTCCCTCCCCCCATCCTGCCCCACCTGTCCCCCTCCCTCACCCCCATCCTGCCCCACCTGTCCCCCTCCCTCACCCCCATCCTGCCCCACCTGTCCCCCTCCCCCCATCCTGCCCCACCTGTCCCCCTCCCCCCATCCTGCCCCACCTGTCCCCCTCCCTCCCCCCATCCTGCCCCACCTGTCCCCCTCCCTCACCCCCATCCTGCCCCACCTGTCCCCCTCCCTCACCCCCATCCTGCCCCACTTGTCCCCCTCCCCCCATCCTGCCCCACCTGTCCCCCTCCCTCCCCCCATCCTGCCCCACCTGTCCCCCTCCCTCACCCCCATCCTGCCCCACCTGTCCCCCTCCCCCCATCCTGCCCCACCTGTCCCCCTCCCTCCCCCCATCCTGCCCCACCTGTCCCCTCCCTCACCCCCCATCCTGCCCCACCTGTCCCCCTCCCCCCATCCTGCCCCACCTGTCCCCTCCCTCACCCCCATCCTGCCCCACCTGTCCCCCTCCCCCCATCCTGCCCCACCTGTCCCCTCCCTCCCCCCATCCTGCCCCACCTGTCCCCTCCCTCACCCCCATCCTGCCCCACCTGTCCCCTCCCTCACCCCCATCCTGCCCCACCTGTCCCCTCCCTCACCCCCATCCTGCCCCACCTGTCCCCTCCCTCACCCCCATCCTGCCCCACCTGTCCCCTCCCTCCCCCCATCCTGCCCCACCTGTCCCCTCCCTCACCCCCATCCTGTCCCACCTGTCCCCCTCCCCCCATCCTGTCCCACCTGTCCCCCTCCCCCCATCCTGCCCCACCTGTCCCCTCCCTCACCCCCATCCTGTCCCACCTGTCCCCTCCCTCACCCCCATCCTGTCCCACCTGTCCCCCTCCCCCCATCCTGCCCTACCTGTCCCCTCCCTCACCCCCATCCTGCCCCACCTGTCCCCCTCCCTCCCCCCATCCTGCCCCACCTGTCCCCCTCCCTCCCCCCATCCTGCCCCACCTGTCCCCTCCCTCACCCCCCATCCTGCCCCACCTGTCCCCTCCCTCACCCCCATTCTGCCCCACCTGTCCCCCTCCCTCACCCCCCATCCTGCCCCACCTGTCCCCCTCCCTCACCCCCATCCTGCCCCACCTGTCCCCCTCCCCCCACCCCCCATCCTGCCCCACCTGTCCCCCTCCCCCCATCCTGCCCCACCTGTCCCCCCTCCCCCACCCCCCATCCTGTCCCACTCTGCCTGTTCTTTGCACAGTCCAAATGTGGCCAGCAGCCGTGATGGGATGGATAACGAGACGGGCACCGAGTCTGTGCTCAGTCATCGGCGGGAGCGAGGCCGGCGCCGGAGCCGCGATGAGGGTACTGCATGCTTGGTCCTCGGGCCTAGGCCCAACCCCCCGGGAGGCCACAGAGCCCAAGTGCTACCACCGCCCTGCCCCCCAGCGGCCCTGGACCCCTGCGCGGAGGCACTGGGCCTGGCGCTGCCCCCACCCCCCTTTTTTCCCCTCAACTCCCAGACAAGCAGCAGCTTGACGCTGTGTGTTCTGAGGCTCTATGGTCAGCTCCCTCTCTGCTGTCCCACAGCGGCCCGGACCAATGGGCACCCACGGGGGGACCGGCGGCGGGACTTGGGGCTACCCCCAGACAGCGCGTCCACTGCACTTAGCAGTGAGCTCGAGTCCAGCAGCTTCATCGACTCTGATGAGGAGGACAACACAAGCCGGTGGGCTGGGCGTGTGTGTGCGTGCGCGTGCGCGTAGGACTGGCTTAGCATGCTCGTGTCCCACTCTGGTCTGCCTGTGTTGGGTCTCAAGTACACACCTGTGTGCCTGTTACATATGAGGCGTGCGGGGCGCAAAGACAATGGCTCCTCTACAGCCAGCTCTGTGGGAGAGGGAGCCATGTGCCTCCCCAGTCTGTGTCTCCTGCGGAAGCGGGAGCCTCCTGGGTCTGTATCATTGGCGCCCTGACCTCGGCTCCCTGTCCCACCAGGCTGAGCAGCTCCACCGAGCAGAGTACCTCCTCCCGGCTCATCCGGAAGCACAAGCGCCGGAGGCGGAAGCAGCGCTTGAGGCAGACAGACCGGGTTGGTGGCCGGGGTGGGGTGGGCGGGGGGGGGGGGGGGCGGCGTGGGCGGGGCCCGCTGCAGCCCCTCACTGGGTCCCCCACAGGCGTCCTCCTTCAGACAGACCGGGTTGGTGGCCGGGGTGGGGTGGGCGGGGGGCCGGCGTGGGCGGGGGGCCGGCGTGGGCGGGGGCCGGTGTGGGCGGGGGGCCGCTGCAGCCCCTCACCGGGTCCCCCTACAGGCGTCCTCCTTCAGCAGCATCACTGACTCCACCATGTCCTTGAACATCATCACTGTCACGCTCAACATGGGTGAGGCCTGTGGGCGAGCCGGGTGCGGTGGGAGTGGGCCTGGGTGGGAGTCTGCAGGGCCTGCTCACAGCCCCTCCTGCAGAGAGACACCACTTTCTGGGCATCAGCATCGTGGGCCAGAGCAATGACCGGGGCGATGGCGGCATCTACATCGGCTCCATCATGAAGGGCGGGGCTGTGGCCGCAGATGGCCGCATCGAGCCCGGAGACATGCTGCTGCAGGTGAGAGCCCTGGGTGCTGCTGGGTTGAGCTGTCCCCTCACCCAGAACCCCTGACCCCCGTCTCTGACTCCTGCAGGTGAACGATGTCAACTTTGAGAACATGAGCAACGATGATGCCGTGCGGGTGCTGCGGGAGATTGTGTCCCAAACAGGGTGAGGAGGGTGGGTTGGTTGGGGGGGCGGGACAGGGTGCTGCTGGGAGGGGCTGCCCGGGGCCTCACTACGTGACCGGCCTGCCCTGCAGGCCCATCAGCCTCACAGTGGCCAAGTGCTGGGACCCGACGCCTAGGAGCTACTTCACCATCCCGAGGGGTGAGTGAGCAGCAGGGTGGGCGGGGCCGGGTGGGCGGGGCGGCCGTCTGGCCCGGCCTCCTGACAGACCTCTCTCCTCTGCTCCCTGCTGCGTCTTCCCTCTCCGTCACCGTCGTCCTTGCCTGGTGGCGGCTGCCTAGCTGACCCCGTGCGGCCAATTGACCCGGCTGCCTGGCTGTCGCACACGGCCGCGCTGACAGGCGCCCTGCCCCGCTACGGTACGAGCCCCTGCTCCAGCGCCGTCACCCGCACCAGCTCCTCCTCACTAACCAGCTCAGTGCCCGGCGCCCCACGTAAGTGGCAGCTTGGGAGGACCCGGCAGGAGGCAGGCTGGGGCCAGGCCTGCTCCAGGCCTGAGCCTCGGTGCTCCCATCCCCAGCAGGAGGCAGGCTGGGGCCAGGCCTGCTCCAGGCCTGAGCCTCGGTGCTCCCATCCCCAGCAGGAGGCAGGCTGGGGCCAGGCCTGCTCCAAGCCTGAGCCTCGGTGCTCCCATCCCCAGCAGGAGGCAGGCTGGGGCCAGGCCTGCTCCAAGCCTGAGCCTCGGTGCTCCCATCCCCAGCAGGAGGCAGGCTGGGGCCAGGCCTGCTCCAAGCCTGAGCCTCGGTGCTCCCATTCCCAGCAGGAGGCAGGCTGGGGCCAGGCCTGTTCCAAGCCTGAGCCTCGGTGCTCCCATTCCCAGCAGGAGGCAGGCTGGGGCGAGGCTGTTCCAGGCCTGAGCCTCCTGCTCCATGGCTGCTGTTGGGGCTCATGACACATGCTGTCCCCAGCTCCCTTGGAGATGTGTGCACACAGCCCAGCCCCACCTGAGTAGAGGAGTGGGGCGCAGGCAGGGTGTGCTGAGCGGGAGGAGAGGGTGGGCCTTCCTCTGCTTACCAGCCACTAACACAACTAACAGCCCCGAGCCTGCAGCGTGGGCGTGCGGACACCCAGGCCTGGTGTGTGTGAGTGGACGTGGAGAAGGACAGGCAGGCCTGGTGTGTGTGAGTGGACGTGGAGAAGGACAGGCAGGCCTGGTGTGTGTGAGTGGACGTGAGGCCTCGCAGGCCTGGTGTGTGTGAGTGGACGTGAGGCCTCGCAGGCCTGGTGTGTGTGAGTGGACGTGGAGAAGGACAGGCAGGCCTGGTGTGTGTGAGTGGACGTGGAGAAGGACAGGCAGGCCTGGTGTGTGTGAGTGGACGTGAGGCCTCGCAGGCCTGGTGTGTGTGAGTGGACGTGAGGCCTCGCAGGCCTGGTGTGTGTGACACTGGTTGAGTTGTGGGTGGCCTTGCCCCAGTTTTGGCCCCTGGGGAGGGGCATCTGTAGGAGGAGGGGGAAGGCTCAGCTCCCTCCGTCTCCCGGGTCCGGGTCTCAGGCCTGGGCTCTGGGTGGCAGGCTGTGTCCGGGGCCGCCTTTGCATGCGGCTGCTCACCTGGTGCTTGGGGTGGGGGTGTCCTGCAGAGTTGGAAGACACGCCGCTGACCGTGAAGAGTGACATGGGTGCCATAGTGCGCGTCATGCAGTTGCCTGACTCAGGACTGGAGATTCGTGATCGCATGTGGCTCAAGATCACCATCGCCAATGCCGTGATTGGTGAGCTCATGCCTGTGGGGTCTGGCTCACCACCCGGTGGCCCGGGCTGGCCAGGCTGACTCGGTGGGGGTGTGGCCAGGGGCAGACGTGGTGGACTGGCTGTACACACACGTGGAGGGCTTCAAGGAGCGGCGGGAGGCCAGGAAGTACGCCAGCAGCATGCTGAAGCACGGCTTCCTGCGGCACACGGTCAACAAGATCACCTTCTCCGAGCAGTGCTACTATGTCTTCGGGGACCTGTGCAGCAGTGAGTGAGGGCCAGAGGGCGGGGGCACCCAGGGGCCCATCCGGCCGCCCTCATCCAACCTCTGCTCCCTCCCCCCAGATCTGGCAGCCCTGAACCTCAACAGTGGCTCCAGTGGAGCCTCAGATCAGGACACCCTGGCCCCGTTGCCCCACCCGTCTGCGCCCTGGCCCCTAGGTCAGGGCTACCCCTACCAGTACCCAGGGCCCCCGCCCTGCTTCCCACCCGCCTACCAGGACCCCGGCTTCAGCTACGGCAGCGGCAGCGCCGGAAGTCAGCAGAGTGAAGGTGAGCATCTCACCAGCTCTGCTCAGCCCCCGCTCCCGGCTCTGCCTGCCTTGCTGTCGCCCCCTGTGCTCTCGCTGTGTGCTTGGGCCCTGCGCTTGGGCCCTGCGTGGCTCCCTCCAGAGGGCAGATGTGGAGGCAGGCACGAGTGGGTTGGTGGGGAGAGCCTCAGTGGAAAGGGAGGCTGGGCGTGGCAGGCACACAGGGTGAGGAGGTGGGCGCAGGCGTGGGTGTGAGGGAGGCCAAGGTGTCGAGCAGGCCACTTTCCAGCCCAGCTGCACTCCCCAGGGCCTGGGCCCAGCTGGGAGCCAGGTGAGGACGGTGGACGGGGCTCAGGGTCCCTGGAGAGCTAGGATGAGGGGAGCCTCCGGGTGGGACATGTCGGAGCAGAGGTCCGAGCCCAGGTGGGGTGCATTGGTGCCAGTGGGTGCAGTGGTGCCAGTGGGTGCAGAGGTGCCAGTGGGTGCAGAGGTGCCAGTGGGTGCAGTGGTGCCAGTGGGTGCAGAGGTGCCAGTGGGTGCAGTGGGTGCAGTGGTGCCAGTGGGTGCAGAGGTGCCAGTGGGTGCAGTGGTGCCAGTGGGTGCAGAGGTGCCAGTGGGTGCAGAGGTGCCAGTGGGTGCAGAGGGTGCAGAGGTGCCAGTGGGTGCAGAGGTGCCAGTGGGTGCAGTGCAGAGGTGCCAGTGGGTGCAGTGGGTGCCAGTGGGTGCAGAGGTGCCAGTGGGTGCAGTGGGTGCAGAGGTGCCAGTGGGTGCAGTGGTGCCAGTGGGTGCAGTGGGTGCAGTGGTGCCAGTGGCTGCAGAGGTGCCAGTGGCTGCAGAGGTGCCAGTGGGTGCAGTGGGTGCCAGTGGGTGCCAGTGGGTGCAGAGGTGCCAGTGGTGCCAGTGGGTGCAGTGGGTGCAGAGATGCAGTGGGTACAGTGGGTGCTGAGGTGCAGTGGGTGCTGAGGTGCAATGGGTGCAGAGGTGCCAGTGGGTGCAGAGGTGCCAGTGGGTGCAGAGGTGCAGTGGCTGCAGAGGTGCAGTGGCTGCAGAGGTGCAGTGGCTGCAGAGGTGCAGAGGTGCAGTGGCTGCAGAGGTGCAGTGGCTGCAGAGGTGCCGTGGCTGTTCTGTGGGTTGAGGGAGAGGGGCCAGCAGTCAGCTTAGGGCACCCAGATGTTGGGAAAGAGGAGGAGAGCGGCAGGGGCAGGGCCTGAGGTGAAGCTGGCGGAGGTCTGTGGACCCTGCGCAGGCCCTCACCGCCCCGTAGCCCAGTCTGGCCTGCTGTCTGCTCAGCTGGCAGCGGGTGGCACCGGGCTGGTGTGTGACTTACGCTATCCCTTGCTTTGTGCTGAGCAAGCCTTAGACTGAAGGACTAGCAGAGTGGACCCTCGGCCGGTAAGCCAGGGACCCGCCTCCCTCAGCATGTCCCCAGCCAGCGTGTGTCCTCGCCAGCTAGCTGGCTCTGGCCTTGGGGTTGGGGGATGGTGGTTTTTGGGGTGTATAGTCCATGATGGCTGACGGGGTCAGCAGCATCAGGGCCTTCATTGGTGCCTCAGTTTCTTAGCTGTAAGACTAGTGTTGGGGTGAGGGGTGAGGTGTGCTGGCCCTGTTCCCCCTTCCGCCCTGTGTCCTCTCCCCCACCCCACCCCCAGTGTCCCCAGTGTCTCTGTTGCTGCTGCCATATCCCATCTCCTGTTTGGGGGCAGGGCCCGCCCAGCCCTCCCGTCTGCATGGCCACCCCTCGCGCTCCTGCTCAGGTCTGCTCGGTCCCTGGCTCTCTGGGAGCAGCTGGGGGTCCTGGCAGCCCAGCTTGGTACTGACCTTGCCCTTCTCTCCCTTTTCACTCCTAGGGAGCAAAAGCAGTGGGTCCACCCGGAGCAGCCGCCGGGCCGCAGGCCGGGCCGCCGGGGCTGGGGGCAGCGGCAGTGAATCGGATCCCACGGTGCCAAGTGGGCCGGGCAGCACCGGCTGGCAGGAGCGCCCTGCCAGCCAGCTCAGCCGTGGCAGCAGTCCTCGCAGCCAGGCCTCCACGGTCGCCCCAGGACTCCCCCCACTACACCCCCTGACAAAGGCTTGTGCCATAGTAGGGGGGCCCCCAGGAGGGCCGCCTGTCCGGGAGCTGGCCGCTGTCCCGCCGGAGTTGACAGGCAGCCGCCAGTCCTTTCAGAAGGCCATGGGGAACCCCTGTGAGTTCTTCGTGGACATCATGTAAACAGCGGCCAGTGCCTTCAGCCCTGCCCAAAGCGGGGGAACGGATGGTCCGTGGGCTTGCCTTAGTGGCTGTGGGGTGCTGGGACAGGGTAGGGGAGAGGGGCTGAGGGCAGCCACGCTGCTGGGATCTGGCTTGCCTGCTGACTCCCAGGGCCTACTGGTGGAGCGGCCCTGGCCCTGCAGACCTGTCTGTGTTCTCCTGCAGGTTTGACTAGAAGCGTGACCCTCGGCATGAGGCTGGGGCTCCCAGACCCCTGCTAGGACGAGAAAGACCCTTCTGGGCTCCATGTTCCCCCCGTGGCCCCCCGAGCTGTATACAAGACAGGGCCACAGACTAAGCCAGGCCCAAATGCCTCCACCCAGTTCACTGAGGGCCTTGTCCTTCAGACCCAGGTGGGGCTCCTAGGAGTCGGATGGAGTCCCAGGCCTCTGCTGTCCACGTGGGATGTAACTTATTTATTTATTGCTGGCCTGCCCGCTCTGGGGGTGGGGGGAGAGATAGCCAGCCACCAGCCGGGGCATTTTGCATGTTCCCCTTCCCTCCTGGGACTCAGAGCAAGCATGAGGAACATAGGCTACGACCGAAAGACACGGGGACACAGGAGAGGGGCTGGTGACTGCACAGCGCGCCCTGGCCGTGGCTGAAGGGTGGTGTGCAGGTGCCGCGGGAGCGGGTTCTAGGGGATGGCGGCAGCACACGAGGTCCTCAGCGGCCGCAATTCCGGCACATGCCGCCACCTTCCGGGGCCCGGGCACCCGCGCTGTAGATACTCTGTCGACGTCTGAGTGTCTGGGTAGTTCCTGTAGAGCTGCTTCTGTGTAAATGCTGCTTCTGTGTAAATGCTATTTTAAACACTAAAAAGCATTTAATTTTATGGGACCGACCCGTGTCCTCGGTTCCTCGTCTCACATCTTGCTACCTCAGGATCAAGATGTGGGAGCCAGTGCAGAGCTGTCCTGGGCTCTGAAGCGGGCAGCCCTGCTCCTGGCCAGCACTCCACCCTCAGGCTCACCTCAGCCACTGGCTCCTCCCTCATCTGGCTGGTGTTCTGTTCTTGGTGCTGACTTCCAACTTTAGGGGGCCTTGGCAGCTGGTGCTAGCCGTGGTGCTGACCCTGTGGGCTCTGTCTGAAGTGCTGGTGCTGGCATAGCACCAATGACCCTTTCCTACTGGTGGGGCTGGGTTTGGAAGAAGGAAGCTGAGAGCCCTTTTTCCTCCCTTGAACGGGCTTCTACCACGCTGGACAGCCATGCCCAGCCTTCCACTGTGATTCCAACCTGAGGTGCCAGGTGGGGGCCCCAGATTGAGCATAGCCAATTAAGCAAGTAGTACTGGCTTCCCAAGGTTTCCTTGAGCTCAGGGTGTGGCTTCAGGTTCTTGAGAAACCCATATGGGCTACCACCTGGAACACTAGGCCCCGCCTGCCTGGGCAGGTTTGGCTGGGGCGTACATAGTAGGATCTAGAACAGAACCTGCCGTGGAGAGGCCGGGACCGCCCTGCATCTTGAAGATCCAGGGCTACTGTGGAGCTGAAGTCCACCAACAACTTGGAGATGGAGTTGAGCTGGAGATCTGGGGGTGTCGACTGGGGATCCCGAAGTTTCCAACTAGAGGTTCCTACTAGGGCTGGGGTCCCTGTGCGGGAGGCGTCAGGTCAGTACCACGTGCTGTGTCCTCGCGCGCCCCTCTGCCACTGCTGCTGCTCGCATCTGCTGTAGCCCTGGGGCTCCCTCCTAGGAAGAACTCAGGGGTGTTGAGGTTTGGCTGCCACAGAAGCAGGTAGCACTTAGGCAGGTAGAAGTTGGCCAGGATGCCCAAGGCACAGAACAGGATGGCACCCATCTGCACCGCGGGCTGATAAATGACCTGCACGCTGGCCAGGAGAGGCACAAACAAGACCCAGGTAATGAAGTAGACCAGCATGGCGAAGGTGAGACCCCGAGCACGGTTATAGCAGCCAGGCCGGGTCTGCACCAGGAAGGTGCCGAGGAAGCAGAGGAAAGCCAGAGCGGCGTTGGTGACGTGCACCAGGCCCAGGCTGGCCCAGGAGTGCATTTGGCAGTGCACCAGTGCCTCCGTGGGCAGCGCCTGCCAGTCGGTCACCAGGCGTGGTGGGGACGCTGCCAGGTACCAGGCACACAGTGCGGCTTCCGCTAGGACAGCCAGGAGCACCAGCAGCCAGGCCCAGGGCCCGCGCAGGTGGCCGCGGAGCCAGGCTGCCCAGCTCGGCGGCAGCTCCGACTCTGCAGAGGCCTCCGCTGCCTGCAGGCAGAGTGTGCTCAGGCAGCCTGTGAGCGGGAGGTGGGCCAGGGGCTGCTGAGCCATGCAGCTGGTGGGTCCTGGCCGGCCCGGGAACAGGAGGACACTGAGGCAGAAAAGGCTCAGGCAGGCCAGGCCAAAGCAGGCCAGAGGCCCGCCTGAAGCGCGCACCAGTGGGCTAGCCCGGTGGCACAGGAAGAGCCCTAGAGCAGCCAGTGCCAGCCCCAGCACCAGGCTGAGCAGCAAGAGCAGCAGCAGCACCGCAGGCTCCCCCCATGCCAAGAACCTGGGCCGGCGGGGAAAGCAGCGCGTGCTCCGCCCTGGGGACCACTGGTCCTGTTCACACGGGGTGCAGGTGAGGTCGTCTGTGGGGTAGGAGGGATGAGGGTCATCCGGTGAGGGCTAGAGCTAGGGGCCCTGGCCTCCGCCGCAGAGCCAGGGCTCTGCCCGAGCACCACGGGCCGTCCTGGGGAGGCTGCTCACCTGGACTCTGCCGGTAGCTGCCTGCCTTGCAGTCTATGCAGTCATAGCAGCAGGAATGGAAGCCTTTCACTCGGCGGACCTGTCCCTCCTCACACTGCCGGGAGCACTGGGACACTGGTACCTGGGCACAGGGCCTTGGGTCAGGCTTTGTTCACGGGTGCCCTCCCTCTACCCAGACATCATAAGTCCCCAAGGCTGTCTGGCGGACCACGCGCCTTGCACCCACCTCCTCGCTTGGCCACTGCATCTGTGAGGGCTGTAGCCAAAGGCTGCCGTTGAAGGTGCCCACAGTGAGCAGTACCGGTGTGGGGCTCTGCCACACCCACATCTTCAGGTCATACTCCACCTCCACACTCCCTTTGTCATTGAACTGCAGCACCAGCTCTCGAGCTTGGAAGCTCAGGTTGTACATGTTCTTCAGGAGCTGAGGGGACGGGTGGGGTGGAGGAAAGGCCGACCTAGGGAGCCACCCAGCCGACAGGCTTTGACCTTGCCTGGTGACCCAGAGCTCCTTGAAGGACCAACTAAAGCTCGGTTCTTACCTGCCACGGCTGCAGCTGCCCTGGCGAGGCGCAGCTGGAGGCGTTGCACCGCAGAGCGGTGTGAAGGGCCTGGGCCACGCTATGCACGGCTGCATAGGTGGCGAAGATCTGGTGGTGCAGCTGCCCAGCCGACAGGTTCTGCAGTAGCCAGCTGGGTAGGCTGCGCAGGGTGATGTGATCGCACTGTGGGCAGCGTGGCCCCATCACCCGCTCCTCCTGGTCCTGTTCAGCATTCAGCGAGGCACAGAAGGCTGGGTCAGCAGCCAGGGCCAGCCGGGTCTCCACATAGTGGGAGAATTCAGGCAGCAGCGTGCCCCGCTGCAGAAAGCCAAGCACAGTGCCCACCTGGGCGATGTTGGGTAGTGACAGGAGCAGGTCTGAGGTCAGCCAGGCCTCGCTGGCCACCCAGACTTTGGACGAGAGCCGGTGGTAGATAGTGTAACTGAAGAGGGAGTGGACGGCTCGGGCAGAGGCGAACAGCACCACCACCTCCACTTTGCTCTGGTTCACTTGGTGCAGGATATCTGGGAGCTTGCCCAGCGGCTGGCTATCGACGTGGGGCAGCGGCACCAGGCCCTCATGTGCGATGCAGATGCCCTGTGCATTGGCCAGGCCCGAGAAGATACTCAGACCCTCCCGGCCATAGTCATCATTGCTGCCCAGGGCTGCCACCCAGTTCCACTTGAATCTCTGCAGCAGCGCCACAATGGCCTCTAGCTGTGTCCGGTCACTGGGCACCGTGCGGAAGAAGGCCGGGAATGTCTCCCGGTCGCTCAGCCGATCCATGCTGGCGCTGTAGCTGACCTGTGGTGGACAAGACGCCTTCTGATGGGAGATGTCCCGTGGACTTGGCTGGCTGGGGGGAGGGGGGAAACGAGGACGCTTACCTGTGGCATGAGGAAAAAGCTGAAGACCTTGCCGGTGATGAGGGCCAGCTCTGAGGTGTGGGGCCCGATGACCGCCAGCACGCGGGGCTGGTACTTTGTGTAGTTGCAGTAGGCGGCGATGCGGTAGCTGCCTGCTTTGGCCAGGAACATGAGGCTGGGCTTTATGGTGACCACAGGCTCTGAGCAGGTGTCATACAGGTCATAGCCCAGGCGTACTCCAGGCAGCAGGGCAGACCCATTGTTGATCTCCTCCACGGCCATCTTCATAGCCATCGCCAGAAACAGACCCAGGGACGAGAGCCTGAGGCCAGCCACGGAGGGACGTGGTGACTGCCAGTGGGCCCCCCCCCCACCTGGGCACCGCCCTCCCTCCTCACCCTGGCTGCTGCCTCTGTACCTGGTGCACACGATGCCGTTGGGTCGTATCCTGTGGTGGAGACTGGCCTCCTCCGCCAAGCCCAGGGGGAAGAGCCCGCCCAGCACATACTCCCCTTGTGCCCTGAGCTGCTGGGACAGGCAAAAGGAAGCCCCGGTCCTGAGGCCCAGTGAAGCCACCAGGCTGAGGCTTAGGAGAACTGGGCCCAGCATGGCAGGTAGCAGCTTCCAGCATGGAGGAGTGGAGCAGGGGGGGCTGGTGGGAGCACTTGTAGTCAGTCCAGAGGGAGGGGCTGGAGGATTTGCTTAGCAAAATTGGTGCCATGCTCAGCCTCCAAGTTCCTGGGGGCTGGAGCAACTTCCTCACTACCTCAGGCCTGGAAATGTGTGCACACTGGGCTCCCGTTCATATATCCCTGACCTCACTACCTCAGGCCTGGAAGTGTGTGCACACCGGGCTCCCGTTCATATATCCCTGACCTCACTACCTCAGGCCTGGAAGTGTGTGCACACCGGGCTCCCGTTCATATATCCCTGACCTCACTACCTCAGGCCTGGAAGTGTGTGCACACCGGGCTCCCGTTCATATATCCCTGACCTCACTACCTCAGGCCTGGAAGTGTGTGCACACCGGGCTCCCGTTCATATATCCCTGACCTCACTACCTCAGGCCTGGAAGTGTGTGCACACCGGGCTCCCGTTCGTTCATATATCCCTGACCTCACTACCTCAGGCCTGGAAGTGTGTGCACACCGGGCTCCCGTTCATATATCCCTGACCTCACTACCTCAGGCCTGGAAGTGTGTGCACACCAGGCTCCCGTTCATATATCCCTGTCTGGCCCCTCTGGTCTGCTATCCAGCAGGCTGGCTCTGCCAAGGCCCAAGCCGCTTGGCAGCTCCCATCCTCAAAGCAGCATGGCAGAGTGGAAAAGGGCAGAGGGCAGAGAGGCGTCCTGGGCTCTGTGTGTGTGTCTCAGCCGCCTGCAGGAGGGCAGAGGAGGCAGAAGTGCCCTAGGGCTTCTTATAGGCACAGAAACCCTCTCTCCCCAGCTCTGGGAAGGTCTGGTCCCAGTTTAAGGTGTGCGTAGGGATAACCCCGCCAGACCCACAGACCGCTGGGACGGTGGGCAGTCAGTCCGGTTAGGAAGGGTCACCTGAGGCTAGCGTGGAGTGCCAGCTAAGTGATGGCTGCGGCCTCCCCTGCCTCCTGGCCCCAGCCGTTCCTCTGCCAGGAGTCTGACACCCAGAATGCTGACACCTGCCTGGGCATTACCACCGTAGCAGGTGCCTCTCTGGAGACAGCTCACAGCTTCCTTAGGGAGGGGCTCATGCAAACAAGGGAGGAAATGCTGTAACCAAATGGGCTGGTGCACCTGATGCAGGTGTGTGCCCTTGCGGGGAGGGTGGATAGTCCTCCCCGGCCCCCCCCCCCCCGCCTTTCCTGGACTCCCAGTCTGCCCCTTGGGCCTGGGTCTGGGGGAGAAGCCTCCATGACACAGTGAGTGTCCAGCTCCCTGGGCCCAGCTAGGGGCAGCCGGCGCTATTCCCATTATGGAGCTCAGAATGACCCACAAGCTCCAACATCCGGGGCACTGCCTTATTGTCCAACCTGGAGCTGGGGTGGAGACTCGACCTGCAAGGGTCTCAGCTTAAGCTGGCCCTGTCTCTTTCTTGCTGCACAGTGAGGCCCGCAAAGCACAGGTAAGTGTGCAAACGCCTTGGCAGTGAGGCCCATAAAGCACAGGTAAGTGTGCAAACGCCTTGGCAGTGAGGCCCATAAAGCACAGGTAAGTGTGCAAACGCCTTGGCAGTGAGGCCCATAAAGCACAGGTAAGTGTGCAAACGCCTTGGCAGTGAGGCCCGCAAAGCACAGGTAAGTGTGCAAACGCCTTGGCAGTGAGGCCCATAAAGCACAGGTAAGTGTGCACACGCCTTGGCAGTGAGGCCCATAAAGCACAGGTAAGTGTGCACATGCCTTGGCAGTGAGGCCCGCAAAGCACAGGTAAGTGTGCACACGCCTTGGCAGTGAGGCCCGCAAAGCACAGGTAAGTGTGCACACGCCTTGGTGCAGTGAGGCCCGTAAAGCACAGGTAAGTGTACAAACACCTTGGCACAGTGAGGCCTGTAAAGCACAGGTAAGTGTGCACACGCCTTGGCACCCCGCAATCTGACGCAGCACACGCAGCTGCATCTGCAGCCTCGCTCTCAGGCCAGTCCTCACTGGTCACTGGTCTTACCCCATGTTACGTGAGTGGTTCCTGGCTGTGTGGCGGGCACTCAGTCCTAGGATGTGAGGTCAGAGTGCAGTGCCAAAAGGTCCCCCCGGGAGGCTGTCCTTTTCCCATCCAAGTGGCTGCCACTGTAGACAACAGCCCCAGCCCGGTCGAGGCTGCCTGGAGCCCGTCTCCTCAACTAAAGTCCTGAGGCGGGGCACCCTGGGGTCTGTTTTCTCGTCTGTAAAATGGAGCGATTCAGATCTCGTGGAGGGCAGCCAAGCTACACTCAGGGGCATAGGGCAGCGGCTGGCCAGGCGTGCCCCTCTCCCGCAGCTCACGCGCCCTCCCCATTCCTCCCCCAGTGAGCAGGTTCCCAGGACACCCAGAAACCCCATCCTAGGACACCACGCTCAGTCCTAAGAGTCATTTATTCACGTTGGGAATAGCACAGGTGGCACAGGGCTCCAGGGCGTGGCGGACCAAACACTTGCTTTATGCACATTGCAGTGCTGTGCTCAGGGGTCTGGCTTGGGGCCCCCAGGAAGTCAGGAGAGGCCACGCCCCTAAGTGCTGGGCGATGTTGAGCTGGGCCTGGTCATCTGGTTGTCTATCAGCTAGGCCAGGGCCCACCCACCCCCTTCTGCCAGTAACACCTTACCTATTTCCTGGGCACCAAGGGACAGGGGCAGGACAGGACGTCTCCCGGGTGCTGGCTGAGGAGGGTAAGGGCTGGCCAGCGGTGCTGGGCCCCCAGAGCCTTAGGTTGTGCCGGGGGAGCCTGCAATAGCACCACTGCGGGAGCCTGGGGTGTCCCTCAGGGAGGAAGCCACACAGGGGTGTGGAGGAGGTGGTCTTCTTGGGCCCTTCTAGAAAAGCCAGGGTCAAGTTGCCTGTATGGCCTGCTCAGCGTGCAGAGGTGTCAGTAAGAGGGAAGCCAAGAGGCAAGCAGAGGGTGCAGCGCCCTCGGACGCTCACCCTTCTAGGGGTATGGTAGCATGGAAGGGCTGAGGCCCAGGGGCCCAGGGCTGCCCATCTGCACAAATGCTGTGTCCCAGGCCAGGGGCAGACACAGGGAGAATCACGGGCTGGGCACTTCGGTTGGAGGGAAGACGGAGCCTCGTGGTGCCAGAGTCTGTGACCTCTCACCACTTCGTGGATTCCACACCTGAGTGGTGTGGCAACATCCTGGCTATTCCTGGCTCTGCCTCCTCCACCTTCCACACCTCGGGCAGCCTGGCCACATACACTGCATAGGCTGAGGTAGAAGCTGGGCTCAGGCTTGTTGTCCAGGCCCAGGAGGGCAGCTACCCTGTGCTTCTGATCTGGGGCCCACCGCCTTTCCTGCTAGAGCCTGTGGTATTCAGCAAGCCCTGCTGTGGACTGTGAGGGCCCCAGGCTGCCCCGGCCCAGCTCCAGGCAAGGGAGGCCCACTGGGCCTGGCGTTGGTCCCTAGGGCAGGTCCAGCAGGGAGTGTTCGGCATAGAGCTTCTGGGAAACCTCGTACACATGCTCAATGAAGGGCAGGGCCTCACCCAGCATCTCTACGGCCTGTTCAGGGGACCCCACGTTCATGACCTCGAGGAAGACCTTGCGGGTGGGCAGGGTGCAGAAGGCCACCGTGACCGCCCGGCGCACGATCCAGGGGTGGTAGGCGGCCAGGGAGGCGTTGTAGGAGTCAGTGCAGAGCACCGCCGTGCGTGCGTCCTCCGGGCTGGTGCGCAGGCTCTCCAGGAACAGCTGCAGCCAGCGCAGCGCACGGTGCAGACGCAGCATGGTCCGGCAGCCCGAGTCGGGGTGACGAGAGCGGCGGTCCATATCCACCAGCTTGTTCCCAACCTCGTAGGCCACCATGGACTGCAGACTGGTGTAGTGCTCACGCTGGGGGCTGCTCCGCAGCTGTTCCATGACCTGCAGCTTTGAGACCACGTCCTTGGAGATGAATGAGAAGATGGTGCCCAGGCTATTCAGAAACCTGTGTGGGGAAGCGGGAGCTAGCAGCTGCCCACACCCTGGCCCGCTGTCCAGCAGTGGTAGGGAACAGTACCCGGGCCTGCTATGGCGGGTGACCACAGCCTGCCAGCGGGACGCCTGAGGCGCACAGCCTCGGGCCACTGCTGCGCCTTCAGGATGTCTGCAGGGAGGCAACCCCTAGGCACACACCTGACCAGGCCCTTCCAGCTGTTGATGTAGTGGTCCAGCAGTACCTCTTCATCCTCCGTCAGACACTGCTTAAAACTGACCAGGACGACTTTCAGGTTGAACTCTGACTCCGAATCCTCCATCTTTCAACATAAGCTGAAACAGTTTTACATAGAACTTATGGGTCAGCTCACTTTGTCACTCATTTTCTCAGGAAGATGGGGAAGGACAGTCAAAAGAACAGTTAGAGCTGGGTGCTAGTGGCTCATAACTGTAATCCTAGCTATTCAGGAGGCCAAGATTCAGAGGATAGAAGTTCCAGGGCAGCCCAGGCAGAAAAGTCAATGAGACTCCATCTCCAAAATAACCAACAGAAAGGAGAGACAGAGATGTGACTCAAAATTGTAGAGCACCAGCTGCACAAATAAGCCAAAGCAAGGTCAAGGCCTTAGGTTCAAATTCCAGGTACTGACAAAGGAGAGGGTTGGGGAGGGAGTGAGGGAAGGAGGGTGAGAAAGGAGAGAGACAGAGACACAGAGACAGACAGACAGAGACAGAAGGACAGAGTGGGGCCCATTCAGACACTGGTGGCTCACACCTGTAACCCTAGCTGCTCAAGAGGCTTGATCTGAGAATTGCAGTTCCAAGCCAGGACATGAGACTTTTATCTCTAATCAGCCATCAAAAAGTCAGGACTGGAAGGGCGGCTGGAGTGAAAAAGCAAAGGGACAGCACTCAGGCCAAGTTCAAGCCTCAGCACAGGTATTTTCACGCACCTGAGTGCACACACACACACAAGAAACAGCTGAGGTACTGAAACTGTCAGCTTAGAGCACAGAGTAAAGCCATGTCTCCTTACCTGAACTCCCTACTCAAAAGGTGCATGTTCTCAGATGCCAACCAGACAGTCGCTATGCCCTGGGCAGATTTCATACCCGCAGGCTTTGGCCCTGCCTCTCGCTCTTGGCTGGGCAGGTTTCATACCCGCAGGCTTTGGCCCGGCCTCTCGCTCTTGGTTATTCAGGTCAGTCCTTGACCTGGGACCATGCAGCTGCACCATTTGCAGTGCCCGTGGTTGCTGCTACTTCTTGCTTATTGTGTTCCCTACAGACCCTGATGTCTCATTCATTGGAGCAATTCCTCCAAGATCTAGGCAGGGTGTGTACTCGTACACTTACAGCCCATCTGTCAGGACAGCATTCTGATGGGGGAGTCAGACTGGAAGAAAAACTGGGATTCCAAGATAATGGTCATTCTGACACCGTAGGGATTAACGCTGGCAGGGAAGGTCGGGCTGTCACAGGCCCTCCCACTAGCTTGGAGGACGTTTTGGAAGTGGCCCAGGACAGAGACCTTGGGTTCTAAATGCAGCCTGCATTCCTGCAGTCGCTGTACACACACGCTCACAGCTCACATTTTGAGCGGGTCTCAGCCTGGCGTCTCCTTGGGGCCTCCTGAGTCCGGCCCTGGCCTCCCCACGCAGCCGTGCTGCCCGCCTGTCAGGGGCCGGACCCCGGTCCTCCACCCACGCGGTGTGACTCAGTCTCTTCCTGGCGTGACCTGCGCGCCCGGAGGCCGCGGGCGCTGGGCCCGTCCCGGGCGGAGCCCGGGGGTCGGCTCACCTGTCAGGTGGGGCGGCGGGGCCCGGGCCGCAGGGAGATGGCGCCTGCCCGGGTCTCAGCGGCCTCCCCGCGCCGTGCGCGGTGCTCCGGGCCTCGGCCCCGGACGGCCCAGCGGAAGCCCTCGGAGCGGTCCGAGGTGCGGAAGGCCGCTGGGCTGGCAGCCCGCCGCTTGCGGGTCTTCCGGCCCTCGGACGTCCGGCAGGAGGCCGCCGCGCCAGCGGGGCCGGGCGGGGTGCGGGGACCTCTGCGAGCCTCACCTGGACGGCAGGCCTCCGCGGCGGGCGGAGGCCGGGCTCGGCGGCGTGAGAGGCAGGGCCTGGCCGCCCGCCGGGGCCGCGCCGGGGCCGCGCCGGGGCCGCGCCGGGGCCGCCGGGCTCACGTCAGCGCTGCAGGCCCGCCGTCCGCAGCCTGCGGTTGGGCAGCCGCGGGCGCGGCCGGGAGCCCAGGCTCCGCCGCGGCGCCGCTCCGATTGGCTGCCTGCCGTCCAATCAGGGCTCGCTGTACCCGCCCGCGTTTCCGGCGAGCGGGGCGGAAGCCGGCGCTCGCCGCCGCGCCTGCGCAGCGAGGCAGCGCGCTTCCGGCTGCGTCTGTCCGGTGCGACGGGAGGCGGTGCGGCCGGCTGCGGGTTGCGGCTCCGGGGGCTGGCGGAGCGCTCCTGCCCCGGGACGCGGGGGAGACCGAGGCGGAGGGCCGCTCGCCCGGACGATGCCTGAAATCAGAGTCACTCCTTTGGGTGAGTCGTAGCCGCGCGGGGCCCCGCGAGCGGGGAGCAGCGGGAGGGGCGGAAGGAGCGGGAGGAGCGGGAGCAGCGGGAGGAGCGGGAGGAGCGGGGAGCAGCGGGAGGAGCGGGAGCAGCGGGAGGAGCGGGGAGCAGCGGGAGGAGCGGGGAGCAGCGGGAGGAGCGGGAGCAGCGGGAGGAGCGGGAGCAGCGGGAGGGGCGGAAGGAGCGGGAGGAGCGGGAGGAGCGGGAGGAGCGGGAGCAGCGGGGAGCAGCGGGAGGAGCGGGAGCAGCGGGAGCAGCGGGAGCAGCGGGGAGCAGCGGGAGGAGCGGGAGCAGCGGGGAGCAGCGGGAGGAGCGGGAGCAGCGGGAGGAGCGGGAGGAGCGGGAGCAGCGGGAGCAGCGGGAGGAGCGGGAGCAGCGGGGAGCAGCGGGAGGAGCGGGAGCAGCGGGAGGAGCGGGGAGCAGCGGGAGGAGCGGGAGGAGCGGGAGCAGCGGGAGGAGCGGAAGCAGCGGGGAGCAGCGGGAGCAGCGGGAGGAGCGGGGAGCAGCGGGAGCAGCGGGAGGGGCGGAAGGAGCGGGAGCAGCGGGAGCAGCGGGGAGCAGCGGGAGGAGCGGGGAGCAGCGGGAGGAGCGGGGAGCAGCGGGGAGCAGCGGGAGCAGCGGGAGGAGCGGGAGCAGCGGGAGGAGCGGGAGGAGCGGGGAGCAGCGGGAGGAGCGGGGAGCAGCGGGAGCAGCGGGAGCAGCGGGAGCAGCGGGAGGAGCGGGAGGAGCGGGGAGCAGCGGGAGGAGCGGGAGGAGCGGGAGGAGCGGGAGCAGCGGGAGCAGCGGGGAGCAGCGGGAGGAGCGGGGAGCAGCGGGAGCAGCGGGAGGAGCGGGAGCAGCGGGGAGCAGCGGGGAGCAGCGGGAGGAGCGGGAGCAGCGGGGAGCAGCGGGAGGAGCGGGGAGGAGCGGGAGCAGCGGGGAGCAGCGGGAGCAGCGGGGAGCAGCGGGAGGAGCGGGGAGCAGCGGGAGCAGCGGGAGGAGCGGGGAGCAGCGGGAGGAGCGGGAGGAGCGGGGAGGAGCGGGAGCAGCGGGGAGCAGCGGGAGGAGCGGGAGGAGCGGGGAGCAGCGGGAGGAGCGGGAGGAGCGGGGAGGAGCGGAAGGAGCGGGAGGAGCGGGGAGCAGCGGGGAGCAGCGGGAGCAGCGGGAGGAGCGGGGAGCAGCGGGAGGAGCGGGAGGAGCGGGGAGGAGCGGAAGGAGCGGGAGGAGCGGGGAGCAGCGGGAGGAGCGGAAGGAGCGGGAGGAGCGGGGAGCAGCGGGAGCAGCGGGAGCAGCGGGGAGCAGCGGGAGCAGCGGGAGGAGCGGGGAGCAGCGGGAGGAGCGGGAGGAGCGGAAGGAGCGGGAGGAGCGGAAGGAGCGGGAGGAGCGGGGAGCAGCGGGAGGAGCGGAAGGAGCGGGGAGGAGCGGGGAGCAGCGGGCCGGAGCGGGGAGGAGCGGGGAGCAGTGGGAGGAGCGGAAGGAGCGGGGAGGAGCGGGGAGCAGTGGGAGAAGCGGAAGGAGCGGGGAGGAGCGGGGAGCAGTGGGAGGAGCGGAAGGAGCGGGGAGGAGCGGGGAGGAGCGGGGAGCAGTGGGAGGAGCGGGGAGCAGCGGGAGGAGCGGGGAGGAGCGGGGAGGAGAGGGGAGCAGCGGGGAGGAGCGGGGAGGAGCGGGGAGCAGCGGGGAGGAGCGGGGAGGAGCGGGGAGGAAGCGGGGAGCAGCGGGGAGGAGAGGGGAGCAGCGGGGAGGAGCGGGGAGCAGCGGGGAGGAGCGGGGAGCAGCGGGGAGGAGCGGGGAGCAGCGGGGAGGAGCGGGGAGCAGCGGGGAGGAGAGGGGAGCAGCGGGGAGGAGCGGGGAGCAGCGGGGAGGAGCGGGGAGCAGCGGGGAGGAGCGGGGAGCAGCGGGGAGGAGCGGGGAGCAGCGGGAGGAGCGGGGAGCAGCGGGAGGAGCGGGGAGCAGCGGGCCGGAGCGGGGAGCAGCGGGCCGGAGCGGGGAGCAGCGGGGAGCAGCGGGGCCTGAGCGGGGAGCAGCAGGGAGGAGTGGGGAGCAGCGGGGAGCAGCGGGCCGAAGCAGGGCAGTGGACTTGCCGGGGTCGGAAGGTCTGACCCTGGGAGGGAGCCGAGGCTTTCGAGCGCTGGGCCGCGGCCGCCTCCCTGCCCAGCCTGTCCCAGGGCCCCCTCGGGGCCAGGCCGGCTGCTGCCTCGGGATCCCTCCGCTCTTCCTCCTGTGCCGCTCACGCTCAGGTGGCCTTGGCTAGCCCTGAGTCCGGCCTTGTCTCACCTGGTCTGTGCAACGTGAAAACACTAGCTTTGCCCTTTGTAAGACACAAGAGTGCAGGCTCTCAAGGTCCTAACAGCCTTAAACAGTCTGGAGCAGGAAACACTTCAGGTCCAGGGACCCAGCGACCTGGGTGGCTCTGCAGGTGTGCCTTTGTTTCTCCTATGTGGTGCTTGAGCTTTCTGGGCACCCTTGTTCCCTTTTCTGCGTCAGTGACATCCATGGCTGCCCTCTGTGTGGGTAATCGCTTCACTTAACGCAGACGTGAGCGCTGTGTGGACAGGGTTGTCTCTTCTGCTTTTCACTGAGTCCTGTCTTTTGCTCTCTGTTGACGTTTTGTCCCCTGATCTTTGGGAGGAATGGCTGCCATTGTCCCATCATCGTTCACGCATGCACGCGTACATACATGCATGCACACATATATATATACAGTGTTCTTTCTCTTTCAAGCTCTCAGTTTCCTCCTTGTTACTTGTCAGTCATGGGGCTTGAACTCAGCGCCTTGGCACTGTCCCAGGGCTCTTATGCTCAAGGCAGGTGCCCTACCAGTTTGAACTCATGGCCTGGGCACTGTCCCTGAGCTTCTTTTGCTCAGGGCTAGCACTCTTCCAAACTTTGTCACAGCACCACTTCTGGCTTTTTTTGTGTATGTGGTACTGAAGAATGGAACCCAGGGCTTCAAGCATGCTAGGCGAGCACTCTACCACTAAGCCACATTTCTAGTCCTCCTTGTTACTTTTTTTTTTTTTTTTCCCACCGTTACTCAATTTCTTTGTTGGCCCTCTTCCCTAAGAACTGGGCTTCAGAATCCAGAAAAACATCTGTGGCCTGGATGTCAGTGGCTCACACTTACTGAGGAGGCCGTGATTGGACGAATGTTGTTGCAGCCAGCTTGGGTAGAAAAATCCAGGAGGCTCTTACCTCCAATTAACCGCAAAAAGGTCTGAACTTGCTACTCAAGTGGTAGAGTTAGCTGTGAGAGCCAAAAATACAGGCTCTGAGTTCAGGCCTCACTACTGGCACAACAAAACAAATACAAAAACTCCACAAAGAGCTGGGTGCTGATGGCTCATGCCTATAATCCTAGCTACTCAGGAGGCTGAGATCTGAGAATTACAGTTCAAACCCCACCTGGGCAGGAAAGTCTGAGAGACTCTTTTCTCCAACTGACCACCATAAAACTGGAAGTGTTGCTGTGGCTCAAAGTGGTAGAGTGCTAGCCATAAGCAAAAGAGCTCAGGGACAGTGCCCAGGCCCTGAGTTCAAGCCCCACAACTAATAAAAACAACAGCAACGCACACACACACACACACACACACACACACACACACACACACACACACACACATCCTCCACAAAGCTGGGGTGCTAGTGGCTTACACCTGTATTCCTATAGGTGTAGGAGGCTGAGATCTGAGGATCTCAATAAGCTCTTGAGACTTTTTTTTATGCTAATCCTGGGGCTTGAACTCAGGGTATGGGTGCTGTCCATGAGCAAGCTTGCTTACCCTCCCTCCCTCCCCCCTTTCTTTCTTTCTTTCTTTCTTTCTTTCTTTCTTTCTTTCTTTCTTTCTTTCTTTCTTTCTTTCTTTCTTTCTTTCTTTCTTTCTTTCCTTCCTTCTTTCCTTCTTTCCCTGTCCCTGAGCTTCTTGCTCAAGGCTAGCCCTCTACCACTTGAGCCACAGCATCAGTTCCCATTTTTCAGGTTTATGTGGTACTGAGGACTCAAACCCAGGGCTTCATGCATGCTAGGCAAGCACTCTACC